CTTGTTTGCCACTAAAATAATGCACATTCCGCGACTTCTGAAAGTCTGGAAGTCATAACTGGGTATATATGATGGCTATGATTAATATATAAATGCATGTATTAACTTAAGTTCTTCCTATATCACATGCTGGACAATAAACAGTCCACGCTGGGTAGTTACATAGTTCTCATGCAACAGGTGGAGTTTATAAGGAAACATAAAAGTATATCAATGATTGTCATTATGTTTCATGAATACAGACGTTCTGTAAGAGAACCTAATGATTGTCCTTTTATGACAGGCTCGCTGTAACTTCGGACGATGGGTTAACACTATATCACTTATACGGTCATGTTGAGAAGATAGAAGAGTTACACAGGCCACTTTACTGTTATTGTGTTGCAGTGGTTTTGATCGGAATTGGCGCTCAGACGTCACCCTTTAAAATACAATCAAATAATATGTTACCATTCAATTTTGATTCTTCTATGAGTGATGAAAGACATGTGAAGATTTAAGAGAGGGGTGTTGTATAAGCTGAGGGTCTCCTCCAAGTCAAAAAAATTTGGCAAGCCCCAAACAATATCGCTTTTGTTTGTAAATAACATTATATTAACTAGTTGATAAAGGAATAAGGTATTGAAAATTCACTTGAAAACGGGATTGGGTATTTTAATCAACTTCGAAACCAAATATAGGCTATGTCAATTGCTGAGGAAATCCTGAACAATCATAGGACGGTTTTATATTTCTTTGAAATTTCAACCAGGGATAAAAAACTGGAACTGCCTTCACTCTACTGAATAACCAAATAAAATCAGATTCCTTACTCACGTTTTATTGCCGGGTAAGCCAAATGCTCCATGAAAGCTTTTCCAAAATTATCAACATATATTTCATTAGCAATCAAAACGAGCATCAGAGTAACTGTGAAACTACCTACCCTAGAGCTAGGATACTAATTTGTCTTGTATAATAGTATAAAAAGTGACTTCTATACCCCTTGCACAAAAAATTGTATTCCTTATTCTAAACTTAGACAGATTGAAAGAAAACGAATTAGACCAATATAAAATTAAGGAGATTTGGTATGATTGCCAATGAGACAGCTATCCCCCAAAGACAAAATGACGTGGATGTAAACAATGTACAGGCCTTCAGCAATGAGCAAAACTTACACTAAAAAGCAAGCTATATAAGACATGACAAAAATTAAAATATTTTAAACGAGTAAACCAACAGACTGATTTCAAATAAAATAAAAAAACAAAACTAGAGGCTCTAAAGAGCCTGTGTCGCTCACCTTGGTCTATGCATATTCAACAAATGACACTCTCCAACATTGTAGGCGAGAATAGAATTAATGACAAAAATCTCTATTTTGATGATCTTGTATTACTGATCTTCTAGTCTGTTTAGTTTCTCTCTATCGTCTTTAGTTTTTGCTCAAAACACATGAGGGTAAAAATATCCTCATTTAAGGGCAATCACTCCTATAAAGAGTGACAGTCTACTAACTATATCGGCAAAAGGAGTAGGTCCGGTAAGAGTCGATTTTGGCCTCAAAATTCAGGTTCATCTGATGAAAGATTTTGGACACTTTTTAACCACTTAAGTGTCTACTTCAGTCGATTCAATTAGTTTATGTGAAAGATTTGAACTGATTTAGTCATTAAAGACTCTCAAATTCAAGCTTAAATATGAAAAATCTATCAAATATGCCATAATATGTCACTTTTCAGATGGTTTTTGTCAAAAATGAAAGTGGCCGCATCCGTGTTCATTCTCAACCTTTATATATGTTATGTATTATCATCAAATACAACTTACATTTAAATATTAAGAATGAACACAAATGCGGCCACTTCCATTTCAGACGGAAACCGTCTAAAAATTAACCAAAATGCTAAAATTTCGAAGATTTTAGTAATTTAGCATGACTTAATGATGCTAGTACCCGATACATGTGCATTGTATTGTCAAAAACAGCCCATATTTATGTAACAGAAGTATTCTTCTTTCCAATAAATAGCTAAAAATTTACATTTTAACAATTTTGTAAAACTGCTATATTTTGGGGCCAAAAAGGGGTCTTACTGGGCCTACTCCTTTGACTTTTTAATAGATCTTGTCTTACTGATCATTTTTGTTTAAAGTGTTTATCTATCTATTATAATTTAAATCATATAAGGCATAACAGAAAAAAATGTTTCTCTCTAAATATCATAGTTTTCATGATAATAGACAAAAATGAAAACTAGAGGCTCTAAAGAGCCTGTGTCGCTCACCTTGGTCTATGTGCATATTAAACAAAGGACACAGATGGATTCGTGACAAAATTGTGTTTTGGTGATGATGATGTGTTTGTAGATCTTACTTTACTGAACATTCTTGCTGCTTACAATTATCTCTATCTATAATGAACTTGGCCCAGTGGTTACAGTGGAAAATATTTTGTAAAAATTTACAAAAATTTACAAAATTTATGAAAATTGTAAAAAATTGACTATAAAGAGCAATAACTCCTTAAGGGGTCAATTGACAATTTTGGTCATGTGACTTATTTGTAGATCTTACTTTGCTGTACATTATTGCTGTTTACAGTTTATCTCTATCTATAATAATATTCAAGATAATAACCAAAAGCTGCAAAATTTTCTTAAAATTACCAATTCAGGGGCAGCAACCCAACAACGTGTTGCCTGATTGGTCTGAAATTTCAGGGCAGATAGATCTTGACCTAAAGAACAATTTTATTCTCGTCAGATTTGCTCTAAATGCTTTGGTTTCAGAGATATGAGCCAAAAACTGCATTTTACTCTATGTACTATTTTTTAGCCATGTTGGCCATCTTGGTTCGCGAGCGGGGTCATCCGACACATTTTTTAAACTAGATACCCTAATGATGATTGTGGACAAGTTTGGTTAAATTTGTCTTAGTAGTTTCAGAGCAGAAGATATTTGTAAAAGATTACAAAAATTTACGAAAAATGGTTAAAAAATGACTATAAAGGGCAATAACTCCTTAAGGGGTCAACTGACCATTTTGGTCAAGTTGACTTATTTGTAGATCTTACTTTGCTGAACATTATTGCTGAAACGATCTTAAAAACAACTTAAGATTAAAATATCACTCAAAATAAATCTGAGCTCTTTCACACGAATTTTTAAGTAATTCCGACATGTCAATGGGTTGACTGCTCACAATGCAAAATGCAACTCTTGAAAGTTTTTAAAACTAACAAAACACAACGTTCGATTCTTAAAATTTACTGCCCAGTGTCAATGAATTACAATAAAAAAAAAAACACAGAATATCAAAAATAAAAGGAGAAAGAATTCCACTTTTCAGGATTTTAATGATGACGTATTCACCCCCCACCCCTAACCCCAACGTAGAAACAAAATGGCTATTGCCTGATACCATTAAAATACTAAGGCACTGCCTTTAAAAAAAACAACAACAAAAAAGTATGATTCAAACAAAACTTTCCCTGAAAATGACATCACGAAGATGCTTGATTTTTTTAATGACACCAAAGTTGTTACATTAGGACATATTTTTCAACAGGCAATCAACATTCCTATGTGAACTATCTCTTCCTCTTCTTGACCACTTATTTTTTCATTCTTATGAGACAGACTTCATGCACAACATTCTCAAGAAAAATGAAAAGAAGCCTGCATTAAGATTTAACTTCACGTTCTGCTATATAGATACTGTCTTTTCACTCAATAATTCAAAGTTTGGTGTCTGAATTGATTGCATCTATCTCAATGAAACTTCAAATAAGGCTGAAGAATACTACAATTGTATTTGCTTTATATCTTGACTTACATCTAGAGATTGACACTGAATGTCAGTTTGGTACTAAACTTTACCACAAAAGACTTGATTTCAATTTTCCATGGTGAACTTTCCATTTCTGTTTAGTAACATTCAAGCATGCCTCTATATATTGCCAAGTTGAAACTATATTCCAGGGTTAGCGTTTCCTATCATCATGATCATAATTTCTTTGACAGAGGGTTTCTGCTTACAAAGAAACTATTGAATCAAGGTTTCAAAATGGTATAGTTAAGGTTATCCCTTCACACAAGGTGGGCCACTTCCTATATACTAGGTGATAGGATGTGCCACTAGAATAGGTAACATTTTCCAGCTTAAAAATAAGTGAATAGGTGGGGAAAACTATCAGAAATATATGATAAGGTCAATAAAGTACCCATTACTTGATTATGAAAAGCCCTATAATTTTTTCACAGGCGAAAGTCTCACCTTAAGTAAACATTACATAAGGAATCTGAGCTTCAGATTTGAGCTCCGACCAAAGATGATATTTTTCCTCTTTTGACACTTTGGTATTCCAATTTTCCCAACACACCACACGAAATCCAACCAATATGGGAAAGGTTACACTTTTATCTACGCAACTTATGAAAAGGTATACATTTTTAAAATCTAGTCTGTGTTTTCAACAGGAATATTCAGTTATTAGAGAATTTTAATGTACTGATGGATTTTAAACTTGTTGATGTCTTAGGGTTAGACAAAAGACATTCACCCTTCTGCTGTTTTAAGATGCCTGATCGCTGGTTATGACTTGTCAATTCATTGTTTCATATGTAACATGAAGGGTACCCATAGCGGAGCAGAACCCTTTGACCCTTCGGGAGCACCTGAGTCCCCCTGACCTATTTTGGTGGTTATCATGTTATTTAAATCTGGAGATTTTTGTGTTATGTTTTGTGAATGTTGTTTTTCTAGAGGCAGATATACAGGGCGAGGGGGAGGTCATTTGGGCATGCCCACCCTTTATGGATCTACAAATATGTTTAATGCATAGACTTTTTACATGTCACACTCTTATCATTGCCTTTTCTGGTCCCCTTCTTTTTTTTTAAACTCTATGTGTGGGGATATCACTAAACTTAAATGAGAAATAGTTGTCATATATATCAAAATATAAGTAATCTGACCACACTAAATTTAAACTTCATACCTTCAAGACCCTAAATTAAATTACAAATTTTATTGTAAATGTTTAATATATCACATCTGTCTATATATACTGATTTCTGCAAAACATTAAAATATAAACAACAATAATAATAATTCTTCACAAATATTTAGGCATAAATAACAGGTTAATGCTACATGGTTCTATATCTTTTGATATTAATTAAAAGTAAGTACTTGGCTAATACAATCCAAAGTTTATAGTATACAGGTAGTTCAAAAACATACAGGTATCATATATGCATATACATAACGCTATTAATAAATGTATTGAGTGCTAGTTGAAATGCAACACATCATATACTAAGCTCCTTTTGTCCCTTTTTTAATGCTAATACAAAATACGTCTTTTAAAAAAATCCATAAAATTTAGCTACAGGCTACGGATTTGGTCTCTAGTGAACTTTTTCACATCTCAAATTTTTTAGAAGTCTCATGGTGTTCAACATCTTATTGCACAGGTTTTCTTCAAAATCAGGTCACAACTGACCATATGAAAAGGACATATTTGAATTTCATAATTTTTCAAAGACATTTTTTACAGGGTACATCCAATGTGAAAATTAAATTGATAAAAAAAGTCAAATTTGAGTACATTGTATCATGTATCATAAAATTATAAACTCTGAAAATTGACAAAACTGTTTTATTTGTATATTCTAAAATCTGTAAAACCTTACAATTGATCAACATCCCAATTGCAAGAAGATCTGCTTGTTCTTCAAGGAAAATACTATCAGGTCTTGTATTTCTATTAGCACTCTGTACTCTATATATGCTGCAAGTAATACTTTCAGTAAGTAAAAACAATACAAAAGTTAATAGATTACATTAAATGTTTCTGAAACAGAAAAAAAATCCAGAATTGGCACGACTTGCAAGAAGTGTATTGCTCATGACATTTTGTGTTGTGTGTATAAATATATAAGATATATATTTTATGACTGTATATGAAAACAGAAGAACCCTCATAAGAGGGTTACAATTGTGAAATTCATATTGAAATTTGAACCATATGTTTGTAAATTCTAGATTTTTCATATTAGAATATTACATTCATATCAAGAGCTAAAATCATATTATCTAATGATAAATGTACTAAAAATACTTTATCGCTTCTTGTATAGTTTTGTAGTGCAAAAATGCATATTTACATATTAGAACTATAAAGTTATTGTATAAAAAATGTAAAATAATACAAAAAAAATCACAAAAAATTAATTTGATGATTTACAAAAAAAAACATTGGTTTAAAAATAATCAAGTAGTAAAACTTCAAAAGTTCCTTATTTTCCACTTTACTTCTTAAAGTACTTTATTGTTAACCAATTAAATGTTAATCTTCATGTTAATCAGTTGATGACATTACGCAAGATCTATCCGATATGTCATAGAGGTTTTTTTTCTAAATTCTAACATTAATTTGATCTTTAGGCAGATCAACTCCTCTGAAATATGCAACTTTACATAATTTATTTTCTACCATAGGTACAGGTTAGCAATAATTAGACAACTACCAAACCTCAAAATACACATACATCTCTATAATACTCATTCATACAATTCTTTTGAAACAAAGAAATATGATTGAACAATGTAATTCATCAAAATATTACAAACTTATACCTCATTATTTTACAAAGTTGTAACAAGATAAATTTGTAAACTAAAATATATAAATGTATCCAGTGATTTATTTGACTAATTCTATAGGAGCAAGTATACTTTCAGCTCATCCAACAGCAACATTAGGGTGGTTCCAGTTTATAAATAAAGAAAATGGGCAATGATTGCCAATAATAACAGCTATATCAAGCATTGAAAAAGGACAAAAAAGTGAAATAATGAATCTATGTCATAAAATAACTTATAAAAGGCCTATAAAAAACAGTTTGAATTATTCAAAATAGACAACAAAGGGCCAAATAAAAAATAAAAAAACATAAAACACAAAACAAATATAACTCAAAGAAAAAACAACTGCTGACCTTGTTTGTGAAGTTAACAATACAGTTTTGCGATTACAGATTTTCACATTAGTCCCTTCATCTTCAAATTCATAGTTTATCCAAGATTTTTTTTCCTGAAAATCCTCAAGCACTATATTATAAATCAAATAAAAATACATTTTCTGATGTAAAAATAAATTACTATGTTCTTGGCACAAAACGGAATAAAAATGTTTTGGAAGACGCAAAAATAAATTCTGTCATTTATCTGCATATGGTTATTTGATATGAAACAGATAGATACATATATAAAAACATGTATATTTGTAGTCTGAATATTGTATACACTATGGAAAAATGACATCATATATTGTTAAAACGAAAAATGAGAGGTTTCAATGAAAAATCATTTCTTACTATATTATTTTCCAATGCAGTACAATATACACACTTTATAATTTATACAGAGAAAAATATTGCATCAAAATCTAATGAAAATTAATGCTGTAGAGTAAGTAAAATCCCTATTGACATACTGTATTACCAGAGAAAAAAAAGAGTTTCACATTTAGTCAAGTCGGGGCCTTATATACAGTATGGGTTTTGCTCATTGTTGAAGGCTGTACATTTAATCCACTTTATTTGGACTATGTTGGATAGTTGTCTCATTGACTATCATACCATATCTCATCATTTTATAGTGTCAGAATATCTGGTTTCAATACTACCCTTAGCTCAGAGCCAAGTGACATTGTATAAAAATTTTATTCACCATGTTCATGGTGGAAACAAGAATGCTTGTAGTAAAATTGACATTACAAAAAGGTTAGCTCATGAATAGAGATTTAAAAGTTATTTTAACAATACAAAGGAACAAACCAAAACAAAAAATGTAAAAAAGAATGGCACTAAAAATTTCAAATTTATAACATGTATGACTTAAACAACAACTTTTAGCAGGTTGGATCCTAAAATTAGGCAAAAACAATTTGCGTGTTTCTAGTTTCCTTTTTTAAAATTATAGTTGGTAGGTTAAGCTTTTTCTTGACTGACTATTACACTTTGTTCATAGCCAGTATGGCCCAATGTGGGGGGCAGAATTCTGCCCTCAGGATTTTAATGAGATTTTACGTTTCGTTGTTACATGGCAACGCATCGATGTAGATGACGCCATTGAACATTCAGCTCTCATTGTGACGTAATAACATAAGCCTTGTGAAATTTTAAAAAATCGGGGGAAAAAAAATGTGAAAGTTGTGTATTTCTCTATGTTAAGTACACGTAATTTGATTGGCCAAATATGTATCTGTGTGTATTGTTCACCTCTAATACAGGAGATTGAAAACAAGTCTCTTGACTAATCTGATTCTACAATAGAACGGCTCTGACCGGCTGTCTATGAACAAAGTGTAGTAGTCAGTTGAGGACCAGCTTATTGGTAGGTCAAACCTTTTTTGAACAAGCCAAAAAATTATCAAGTCTTCACCAAATTTGGTTCTGATATTATAGATACTTTTACTAGAAAGTCACCAATTGCAATTTTTCAATGAACTGATTGACCATGATTAACAGGGTTTTGTTCAGTTCTGTTGCATATTTTGATTAGATAATTTAGCAATTATGGCAACTGATGTGTTGGTGAAATGTTTTGGAAGAAATCCTCATATTAAAAACCATATGGTCAGTTAGGATACCCTGATCTGAATGCACATTTGTTTGGCCTTTTTAAAATCTGCTAATTAAAATATGTCTTCAATAAAGTTGCACTATTTTAAGAGTATGATAATGGTATGTTGCAATTCCCAACAAAGTTTAATAATTCCTGATATTTTTCTAAATTATCTCCCATTTGTACATGTCTTTCTTCTGAAACATGTACTGGGATGTGTTCATTGTAACTTTCACCTATTGGTCTATTCTGTAAGGTTAAATTTGATGAAATTCTTTCAGAATCCATAAAATTCATTCTTTCACCAGCATATTCATTATAACTTTTTCCAGTTGTAATTGTTTTTTCACTTATTGGTCTAGTTTGTACGGATAAGTCTGACGAACTCTTTTCTGAATCTATGAAATTCCTTCTAGCACTCATGTATTCATTATAACCTTTTCCTGTCTTTATCATTTGTTCACGTAGTTTATGTGTTGAAATTATTTCTAATTTATGAATATTTTTCATATGGCTGTTTAAATTTCCTTTCAACTTGCAGCTATATTCACAAATATGACATGAAAATGGACGAGCTTCCTGTAAAAATGAAAAAAAAATGAAAACAAGAATATGCCTCAATAGGACATCATGCCACACTCATTCTATCACATCCTAATGTTTAGTGAACTTTTAAATCGGGGTAAAAACCCTAATTTGGCATTTCTTTTAAAAGTTCAAATCATAATGAACATGTGTACTCAGTTCCATGAGGTGTTGTCGGTGGTTGGATGAACATGTGTACTCAGTTCCATGGGGTGTTGTCGGTGGTTGGATGAACATGTGTACTCAGTTCCATGGGGTGTTGTCGGTGGTTGGATGAACATGTGTACTCAGTTCCATGGGGTGTTGTCGGTGGTTGGATTGCACTTGAATTTTTTTTGTATGGTTGGGGGAAGGTCACAAATTTCAAATTGTGTGGTAATGTATGCAAAGTAAAATGCATTGTTTGGGTGATGGCTATAAACAAATAGTGCCTTTCAACCAAACCCCCATCCCATATTGTTTTTTTCTGGAGTAGTCCTTAGCTGCTTCATGCTGAGGTCAAATCTTAATCTTGAAGTTTGATCAGTTTAATCATAAGTTTCATTATTCATTGATCTTTTATTAATTTGTTCTGTAATTATCTCAGTATCTCAGGTAAACATGGTAAAATGTGTTCCACAAACATAATTTATGGCATGGTCAAACATCAAAGTTGTCAACAAACAATAATTGTAACATGCCAATCTGATTGTTATACAAACAAACTGATTGACCTAGAACTAATAAGGAAACTTATTTTGATGCACAATAAAAACTTAAAATTTCCAAAAAGTGAAATATTTCTTTTACTTTGAACTTCGACACATCAAAAGGTAAATTTATGTTCATTTTTCTTAGAGGGGACTTCCAAATATACTGAGGTTAACAGAGATTTCAATACAACTGAGTTCAACTCATCACAGTTAGAAATGCGTTGATTAAACAGGAATTCTACCAGGACTGACAAAATACCTCAACCTATCTGTGTTTATGACACATCAGAGTTCAACACAACAAAAATTGGAAAAGGTTTCTAGGAAAACAGCTTATTTGCTGGATTTTAAGGAAAGCAGATTTTTTCCCCAAATTTTCAGTCTGACTCAGATGCGGATCTGGGGTTTTGAAAAAAAGAGGGGCTGTGGCCCCCAAACGAGGCAACATTTGGAGTGGGACATGTAAAACCATATATGTAGCTGCATAATTGGGACACAGGCTCCCTGGGCACCCTCTAAATCCGCCTCTGTGACTGATTTTTTATTCATCAGAAGAAATCATATCAGTTTGTCTGACCAATGTCCCACAGTCTTTTGAGGAATTTCTGGAAATCTTTTTATTATGTGACCTATGCAAACATGAATATCAGGTATAATACTTACAGAGTGTGTACACTGTTCATGTGTTCTAAGCGTCCTTCTAGACCTCGTTGTGTAACTACACTTGTCACATCGAAATACTTCATCTAAAATGTAAATTGAAATCTCTGTTACTCCTGATGGCTGAATGGTAAACAAAACATCAGTACATATTCTACTTTTATCATATCAAAGTTGTAAAATAAAAAGATGCCATTTACTAGAAATTGCTGTATTTTCAAAACATTTGTTTTACACTTATCATGCTTATAGATGCATATCAGTGGGTCCCAATTAAAACATTTTATTATATTTTTACCTTTTAATGGTCCATCTTAGTTTATTTTAACAATGTTAAAGAGAAATACAGGATGGACATTTTTTGGTTTGACAGACTTCAAGGCCATACTTTTCTGAATGTTTCAAACAGTAAACAATGAAATTCATTGTAATTTACTGTTTAAAAAAATATTTCCACAAACATCTGGTCTGCTAGATATTTTCTTTTCTTTTCTTCCTTTCTTTTGTTATATTCATCTAATACTTGCCACTTTGATTCAGGTTTTCAGTAATATTTGTACATATATACACTTACTGCTGTGAGAGGCAATTCTATGACTATATAATGATTTATTGGTTTTAAATTTCTTTGGACAATCACTGCACTTGAAATTCAGATCCTCTACAAAAAAAACACAGAAAAAATATAATTCACTGCTTCAAAGTTAAAAGCATTTTCTGTAATATTTTCCAAGATGTAATGCAACACTGGATTGTGCAAAACCATGGAAATACAACCAATGGTGTATTGTCATAGTCACTGAGTATGAATATATATAAAGGGGATTAAACAGCAACCCCCCCACCCACCCCCCCAAAAAAACCAATGCAATTCACCACAGTCATTCAAATTCTGTAACAGCTAAATATGAAATACCGGTATATGTAATTCAGTATTGCTTATCTGACAGAAACAATCAATAACATTGTCATTTTTTAAAAATTAGTTATGTATAATATCATGTGGTGCCAATCTTTAACAATAAGATTTCATTAATTCAACAAACATGTTTAGGTTCTACACTTCTATGTTAACATATACCAAAATATCATTATGGTGACCGGCAGGAATGGTAAAAATTTGTTTTTTATGAGTATTGCACAGTCCAGTGGGAAATACTGTATGGGAAAACCTGGGTTGTACTGGGCAAATAAGAACTATTGCTTGCTATGCAGTATGGGTTTTGCTCATTGTTGAAGACCATACCTATAGTTGCTAACTTCTATGTTATTTGTTCTCTGGTTGAGAGTTGTCTCATTGGCAATCATAATACATGTTCTTATCTAAATATTGACCTGAGTCATTTGTTTTTTATGAGGCAGACATTACATTTAATAAAATGCTTCGCTGGGGCGCAGCTTGATACGACCGCAGAGGTCGAACCCTGAACAGTTGGGGCAAGTATGGACACAACATTCAAGCTTGATACAGCTCTGAATTTGGATTGTTATTAAATATTTGACACAGCATAGGTTTCTGACACAGAAAGAATGTGGTCTAAGAACTTGAATTTTTTTAATTTACCTATTATGGTCCAATGTCCAAAATCAAAATACATGGTTAGATGCAGCATATCAAAGAACCCCATATATTCAATTTTTGTTAAAATCAAACAAAGTTTAATTTTGGACCCCAACTTGGACAAACTTGAAAACTGGGCCCATAATCAAAAATCTAAACACATGTTTAGATTCAGCATATCAAAGAACCCCAAGAATTCAATTTTTGCTAAAATCAAACTAAGTTTAATTTTGGACCCTTTGGACCTTAATGTAGACCAATTTAAAAAACGGGACTTAAAATTAAAAATCTAAATACACGGTTAGATTTGGAATATCAAAAAACCCCAATAATTCAATTTTTGATGAAATCAAACAAAGTTTAATTTTGGACCCTTTTGACCTCAATATGAACCAATTTGATAGCAGGGCCCACAAATAAAAAATCTAAGTTCATGGTTAGATTCAGCATATCAAAGAACCCCATATATTCAATTTTTGTTGAAATCAAAAAAAGTATAATTTTGGACCCCAACTTGAAAACTGGGCCCATAATCAAAAATCTAAACACATGTTTTGATTCAGCATATCAAAGAACCCCAAGAATTCAATTTTTGTTAAAATCAAACTAAGTTTAATTTTGGACCCTTTGGACCTCAATGAAGACCAAATTAAAAAACGGGACCCAAATTAAAAATCTAAAAACACGGTTAGATTTGGCATATCAAAGAACCCCAATAATTCAATTTTCGATGAAATCAAAGTTTAATTTTGGACCCTTTTGACCTCAATATGAACCAATTTGATAGCGGGGCCTACAAATAAAAAATCTAAATACATGGTTAGATTCAGCATATCAAAGAACCTCATATATTCAATTTTTGTTGAAATCAAACAAAGTTTAATTTTGGACCCCAATTTGGACCAACTTGAAAACTGGGCCCATAATCAAAAATCTAAATACATGTTTAGATTCAGCATATCAAAGAACCCCATATATTCAATTTTTGTTGAAATCAAACAAAGTTTAAATACTGGACCCTATCTTGGACCAACTTGAAAACTGGGCCATAATCAAAAATCTAAACACATGTTTAGATTCAGCAAATCAAAGAACCCCAAGAATTCAATTTTTGTTAAAATCAAACTAAGTTTAATTTGGACCCTTTGGACCTCAATGTAGACCAATTTAAAAAACAGGACCCAAAATTAAAAACCTAAATACACAGTTAGATTTGGAATATCAAAGAACCCCAATAATTCAATTTTCGATGAAATCAAACAAAGTTTAATTTTGGACCCTTTTGACCTCAATATGAACCAATTAGATAACGGGGTCCACAAATAAAAAATCTAAATACATGGTTAGATTCAGCATATCAAAGAACCCCATATATTCAATTTTTGTTGAAATCAAACAAAGTTTAATTTTGGACCCCAATTTGGACCAACTTGAAAACTGGGCCAAAAATCAAAAATCTAAATACATGTTTAGATTCAGCATATCAAAGAACCTCATATATTCAATTTTTGCTAAAATCAAACAAAGTTTAATTTTGGACCCTTTGGACATTAATGTAGACCAATTTGAAAACTGGACCCAAAATTAAAAATCTAAATACACTGTTAGATTCGGCATAACAAATAAATAAATGTGATCAAAGATTTTACAAATCTAATGCGCCATACTGTGCAATTAAAGACTACTTCTTGAAATTTTTCAATATTTGAAATTTGAAAAAAAAATAATATTTGAAGAATAATTCTTTTTAATTTCTGAAATCTGAAATGAGAAAAAATTGGCCCACCACAATTTCTTTTTATCCCTCCCCCCCCCTTTTTCCCCCCAAAAAATTCTTTCCCTCAAGATATGGTCATAATCTCAATTCAAATTTCCAATGGAGTTGGCAACCATAATTACCCATTTAAATTTACCATAGTGCTAACTTAATCTATTTTATAATAGAATTAATAAAAATATAGTGTCAAATCTTTCATATGGATTTTTTTGTAAAAAAAAAAGATGAAAACATTTGCAGATATTTTTACTGGTCTTCCTTTATAAATATGCATTTCTTTAAACATAATTTAAAAGCAGTGTAAGGGAAGTAACCAAAACGTTGTATTTGGATTACCTCCCTTACACTGTTTTAGATTATCTTTATTGTTCATTAACCATTACTTTATACATAATTTAAAAGCAGTGTAAGGGAGATAATTTCAATGATGTATTTGATTTATCTCCCTTACACTGCTTAAAATTATGTTTTGTACTAAAGTATTTGTCCATTAACCAGGACAACCTTGTTTTTCCCCCTTTTTTGCCCCTAATTCCTAAACGGTTTGAGCCATAACCCCCCAAAGCAAATCCTAACCATCCCTTTGTGGTATGGAAACTTGTAGTATAATTTCAGAGAGATCCATACGCCGTTCCACAGTTATTGTCTGGAAACTAGAAAATGCTCATTTTTGGCCCCTTTTTGGCCCCTAATTCCTTAACTGTTGGTACCATAACCCCCAAAATCAATCCCAACCTTCCTTTTGTGGTATTTAACCTTATGGTCAAATTTCAAAAAGATCCATTCACTTAAACTAAAGTTAGAGTGCGAAAACCAATATGTATTCGGACGACGACGCCGGACGAACACGACAACGACGCCGGACGACGACGACGACAACGACGCCAACGTCATACCAATATACGACCACAAAATTATTTTGCGGTCGTATAAAAAAACTAATCAATTACAAATGTTAAACATAAACAATTTCAACACTCCACACTTAGGTAATGGGTGTTTGGTTTGAATTTTGAAAGTTTTTAACTTCAACAAAGAAGTGTTTTATACATTCTCTTGCCTGACACGCCAATGCTCTTATAAAATATGTTTCAGATGAACAACAGCAATGAAAGTCCTGTTTCTTTACTTTTGGTTTTGTTAAAACAATGCCTGTTTTTTATTTCATGAACTTATAAACTGTACTCCTTCTTTTCAATTACAGTATTTTTCAAAGTGATTCCATGAGTATATGTACATTTCGAAAAGCCTTTATTGAAATGTTCTGTGTGATGCAAGATATCGTTAATAACTTTGAATTTATTGAAATACTGGTGCATGATATTCATTTGTACTTCAATATTGTAAATCATGACAGCAGTCCTTTAAAGACCCTTGAATCTGATATGATTCATTATCATCATGCAATGTTGGGCAGATGTTTACTTTATTTGAAAAGATATATTTCAGTTGGAATAAATTTGCTCCGTGTTGAAGGCCTCACTGTGACTTGGAGATGAAGAACAGCAATAAAAACGCTGTTTCTGTGCTTTTTGTGTGTTTTTTGCTGTGCATGTACTGATTTTGTGTCATGGATGGATACCCCATGTCCTCTGTTTTTCTATTACTTATACATTATAATTTACCTGAATGATTTTCTTGTTTATGATTTTTTAAATAACTAGGGTAGAAACAGTAGAAATCACACAAATCACACTGGTATCTGAAAAAACAAACAAATAGAAATAGAAAACACACACATCACAATGGTTTCTGAAAAAAAGAAACAGATTACAGTAGAAATTACATTTATCACACTAATTTCTGAAATAGAACAGAATACAGTAACAAGAGTGCACTCATTAAAATGTCTTGCCTGCTTTACTCATAATGATTGAATTTATACAATTAACCGAATATAGTATCTGAGAAACAGACTTAATTATGAAAATTTGATATTGACCAATTAACCATAAAAATGAGGTCAGTGTCAGATGAACCCTGCCAAACAGACATGTTCACCTAACAATCATTCCATACAATTTTATAAAAGTTTTTTTCAGAGTTCATTTTTCTAGAAAACTACATATTTCCTGTTTTTGTAAGATAAGACATAATATGTCAGTACACTTTACTTACTTTTTCATGTTGGAAGGGATAGCTTCTCCATGTACATTATGTAGATGAATTGACAATGTCATCTGAACCTTGGACTTGAATGGACATTTATGACAAAGTTTATAACTTTTATGTTCAGCATTCAAGTGTTTCTGTGGAGAGAATAAGATAATCAGTCAGTGAAATTTTTTAATTTTTCGGATTTCTATTTCAACATGAATTACAAATGAATAAATAATGATAGCTTCAAAATGGACGCAATATTCGCGCTTGATACAGGTCTGAATTTGGATTGTAATTAAATATTTGACACGTAAACGGTTTCTGACACATAATAACTGTAGTCAAAGAACTTAGAATTGGTTATATGATTTGAATTTATTCAATTTTTTGCTTTTGTGCAATACACTTTGCTGTTGCGAATTGACCCCCCCCCCCCCCTCCCCCACAAAAAAGAATAAAAAATTTAACTCTCCTTTTTTTTTTTGCTTTTGTGCAATACACTATGCTGTTGCTTATTAACCCCCCCCCACACACACACACTTTTTTTTTGCAAAAAAAATAATATTTGAAGAATTTTTCTTTTTAATTTCTGAAATCTGAAATGAGAAAAAATTTACCCCCACAATTTCTTTTTACCCCCCCCCCCCCCCCTTTTTTCCCCCAAAAAATTCTTACCCTCAAGATATGGTCATAATCTCAATTTAAATTTTCAATGGAGTTTGCAACCATAATTACCCATTTAAATTTACCATAGTGCTTACTTAATCTATTTTATAATAGAATTTAAAATATGGTGTCAAATCTTTGATATGGATTTTTTTGTAAAAAAAAAAAGATGCAACATTTACAGATATTTTACTGGTCTTCCTTTATAAATATGCATTTCTTTAAACATAATTTGAAAGCAGTAAGGGAGGTAATCAAAACGTTGTATTTGGATTACCTCCCTTACACTGCTTTTAAATTGTCTTAATTGTTCATTAACCACATCTTCGCTAGCCAAGGGTTACGATCCACTTGCTTCCTCTCCACCCTTGGCAGATTAAGCCAACATTTGTGATAACAATGTTGCGCCATCTATCGGTAGATTAAAGTCACGCCCATTCCTAATACATTATTCTTGACCAATGGTAGCACGTGAACTCTTCAATTTGGAGGTTAAAACACGGTAGCGTCTAGATTCTACACACTTGGTAAAGCAGGAAACGAAAATATACGATTTGTGCAAGAAACATACACAGGAACTTCTATTAGTTGATTAAAAACATTCAAATTGTCACTAAATATAGTCGTATGTTTAGGGATGTAAAGACTTGTTGCACAATAAGCATGTGGCAATTGTTTACATACACTTTCAACATTTACACGTGATCATGTTATAGGCGCTTTTTGATTGGATGCAGTGAGTTTCGACTGCAACCAATGAAAATCATTACCTTGTGTCTCCGAAATTCTATCTCAATCCGCCAAGGGTGGAGAGGATGGAAGTGGATTGTAACCCTTGGCTAGCGAAGATGCATTAACCATTACTTTACACATAATTTAAAAGCAGTGTAAGGGAGGTAATTCAAATGATGTATTTGAATTACCTCCCTTACACTGCTTTAAATTATGTTTTGTACTACAGTATTTGTCCATTAACCAGGACACCCCTGTTTTTCCCCCTAATTCCTAAACGGTTTGAGCCATAACCCCCCAAAGCAAATCCTAACCATCCCTTTGTGGTATAATTTCAGAGAGATCCATACACCGTTCCACAAGTTATTGTCTGGAAACTAGAAAAATGCTTATTTTTGGCCCTTTTGGCCCCTAATTCCTTAACTGTTGGTACCATAACCCTCATAATCCATCCAAACCTTCCTTTTGTGGTATTGAACCTTATGGTAAAATTTCATAGAGATCCATTCACTTAAACTAAAGTTATTGTGCGAAAACCAATGTGTCTTCGGACGACGACGATCACGATAACGTCATACCAATATATGATTTTTTGCGGTCCTATAAAAAGTACTTCCAGTATCATTCAAACAGATTTGTGGATCAAGGATTTTGAAAAAGGCCCCCAACAAGACCATATTAGGAGTGGGACTTAATCAGAGTGTACATGTAGCTCCATAAGAGAGGAACTGCCCACCCCTAAATCCACCTCTGACTAGCCATGCATTTATAAAATTAACAGTCATATTTAGTAGAATAATAGTGCAAAACACCAAACAACTCATCATCATGAATTTACAAAAAATGTTGTCACACACTTATCATCTGATCTTATAGAGCAACTACAAATGTATAACATTTTTGGCAACTGATTGGTATGAACCTTGAACCATTTCCCTAGGAATCCTTTCAACAGTTGCCATAGAAAGATCTGTATGGGGAAATATCAACTTACTGTTTTCAGTTGTGTATAGTACACCGATTTTTACCCTGGGGTATGGTTCTGAGAAGTACATGTATGGTGTGTTATACATGTCTGCATAGTTTTCCAATTCTTTTTCCAGGTCGGAAATTTGACCAAGATGAAACCAAGGGAAGTTAGGAGGAAAATATTTTAGTACATGCTATTGCTATAGCTACAAAATGTAGACCACTTTTTCATTTGACCCATAATTACTTACGGTAAGTTCATGATCCCATCCAAACACTTTACCACATTCTTTACATTTAAATTTCATTTCTTCTTCCTTATGATGAGAGGAGTGAGCTCTCAAGCCTCCTTCTGATGTAAACTCCATTCCACAAACATGGCACACTAACTTGTCGGTTTTATAGCGATGACATTTTTTATGGTTGTATAAATTTATATTTAAACATTTGTGTGAACATCCCTGTAAAAAAGGACAATAAGAATTTTAACAATATTATGTAACCACGGTAATTAATTAATGTATTTCAATGTAACATGTTCTATGACAATACAAATTAAAACCCCAAATTTAAAAACAAGCATTAATTTACATCTATTTCATCATGTTTGATAAAAATTGTTAAAATATGTATAGCTTATACTATAGTACATACAGTGTTTATTTACCTTTATTATTTTACAGGTGAAAAAATACTCTTGGAAATTCAGAGTTGATAATTGTTGAGAAAAAATGTCTCCAAGGTTTATGAAAAAAACAACTTGCAGGTATATCATGTTTACTGTTTATTTTCATCTTGTCTTGTTGATTTTGTGACTCATTGATGTTAAACCAACAATGGAAAATTTATGTATGTCACATCTAACATACGTATTTCTTTTGCATGTGCAATGTTATGCTTGTAGCCGCCAAGAATTCAATGTTTAGTGGAAGTTTTTATTTTAAGTTGAATGCTAAGCAACAACTTCTACAAGGAATAAAACACAATGTTTATATGAAGCAGGACAATTAGAATACAGATATGGAAAATAAATGAATCGTTACCTCAACATCACATTCAACCAACGGATATTTCTTTGGAAAAATGACAACTTTGTGTTGTCCGTACATATGTGAGGCATAAAGATGGGGTTGTATTCCAATCCAGTCACACAGTTCACAAGGATAAGGCTTATGAACTTCCCTCAAATGATCTCCACGTTTTGCATATGATGGGAAAACTAAATTACACTGAACACATTTCCACTCCTTTTTTGTACTTGTCATGTCAGAATCCACACTAAAATCTTCATCCTTTTCTTCATCATTATCATCGTCTGATGTGTCCTTTTCTTTCTTTTTTAAAACTTTGCGATTTATTCTTTCAGTTTTTGTTGTTTTATTTACAGGTTTTTGTTTCTTCACTCTCTTTATTTGCTTTAACCTTTTATTTGAGGAAACTTTTTCTTCACTTTTTATATTAGATTTATAAGAGCGTTTTGTTCCCTTTCTTCGAACATTCTTTTGACATCTTATCTTACAAGATACTTCGCTAGATTCTTTTGTTTTCCCCTGTTTTACAGAATCTTCTTTGGTTGACTTTTCAGGTATTATAGTATCAACATATTCTTTTTTAGTCCTCTTTCTAATTTTTACAAAGGAAGTAGTATTGCCGTTATTTTCTCGCTTGTTCATGTTGTCAGAGACACTCACAAATTCAGGGATGACAGAATCTTCCAGACTGGTCAAATCTTCTCTTACAGTATGTTTCAAATTGTCATTATCAGAGAGTTCTTTCTCATAAGGTTTGGTACTGATGCTATTTTCATCATCAGAAATATCATTACTGTTTAGGTTTTCATGATCACTACTATTTTCAGATTTACATGTAATTGGAGTGTTGGTAATTTTAAGATATAAATGTTCTCCTTCGTTCACTATTTCTTTACCCAATACATCATCCGAGTCTGAATGCATTGGAGACATTTTAAAGCTTTGTTCATCATCATCACCCCCATCATCACCCTCATCATCACCATCCTCGTCTTCATCGTCATCAATGAATCTAGAAGACTCATTCTGTCCATTATCAAATTGTGAATATGATTCTTCAGGTTTAAATAATATTTTATGATGCTGTTTTAAAGTCTCACATACTTGATTTAGATCTAAATCTTCACACACCTCAATAAGATCAGAAATATTCTTTTCTTCTATAATAATTTCTCCTGTGTATAAACATATGACCACTGCTTCAACTACTTGAATACTGTATTTTGTACAGTCAATTTGATGACTTTTTTGTGTTTTTTTGAATCCATGATGGTTTGAATGTGATTCACTGTTTGCCTCCAATATAATACTGTGAAGATTTGCAATGCCATCACACGCTTGAAGTGTTACATCACAGTTAACTCCCCTTTGTTGTAACTGATGCAGTGAATGAAATACTTGATCTTTATATCCCGGTACAGAAACACTGATTACTTCATCCATTCTTAATAAATCTTAAAACCTGCAAAGTTCATACATAAACATACAAACTGGTTTACCAATAACTTTTTTCAATGTAACCAACATCTATATATCACCAGTGGAGAACAACCTGCTGACCTTTCTGGAGCACTTGAGCACAAAAATTGTTTTTGGTTGAGTTTGTGTCACTCAATCATTCTTTATAAGCCTTCTGTGTTTTACCGGTAGTAATTTTTGTTTGCTTGTTGGTTTGTTTGTGTTTAACATTTTCAGCTACTTGCATTGGCTAATATCATAGCGGCCATTTTTTATTGGTGAATGAAGCCTGAGTACCAGGAGAAGCCTTCAACCAAAATATAAATGTAAAGAAAAGGAAGCAGGACTCCTCCTAGCTAGCTGGAAATAGAGAGACACAGCTCCCTTCTGCCCTATCTGTGCAACCTTTGTCCTTAAAAGTCCTGCCATATGATTTTTTTTTTTTTTTCCAAAGGATTTTCATAGAATAAATATACAATTTTCATACATTGTATTTTTAGATTTCTGAAGGAAAATAATTAATTTTCAATGTATAAAAAATAATTTTAACTAATGCCATACCGGAAACTAGATGCTCTAAAGGCTGTTATTTGCAGATTTCATTAAATATGGCGTAAACTTAATCATGGTTATTTGTTTTTAAGATAAGAAAAATTGCCATGACTATTCCATTTGTATTCACTGGGCTTGAAAAAATTGTCTAAACAAAGTCTTAGAGAGAACCTTGCAAGACTTAATCATTACATGGTTTTATCATTTCTTTAGGACTCCATTACAGTAACAAGAGTGCACAAGCTGAAATGTCTTGCCTGCTTTACTGACCATTGATTTCATGTTGAAAGTCTTAAAGATAAAGGTTTTACTAAAAGCATTACAGAAACTTAACATTTTTAAAGATCTATTAAAATGAGGTCAAGGTCAGATAAATCATGTCAGCCTGACAAATACACCTTACAATTTTTTTATACACCAAAATACACCAAATGAAGTTGACCTATTGCGTATGCTAATTGAAAAACAGACCAAAACACAAAAACTTAAGTTCTTAACATTGACCAATGAACCATGAAAATTAGGTCAAGGTCAGATTATACCTACCAGACAGACATGTGGACCTTACAATTATTCCATACAAAATATAGCTGACCTATTGCTTTGAGTATTTGAAAAACAGACCAAAACACAAAAACTTACATTGTCCATTGAAACATAAAAATGAGGTCAAGGTCAGATGATACCTGCCAGACAGACATGTACATCTTACAATCATTCCATACACCAAATTTATTTGACCTATTGCTTATAGTACTAGAAAAACAGACAAAAACACAAAAAACTTAACATTGAGCAATGAACCATGAAAATGAGGTCAAAGTCAGATGATACCTGTCAAACAGACATGTACATCTTACAATCATTCCATACACCAAATATAGTTGACCTATTGCTTATAGAACTTGAAAAACAGACAAAAACACAAAAAACTTAACATTGAGCAATGAACCATGAAAATGAGGTCAAGGTCAGATGATACGTACCAGACAGACTTGTACACCTTATAATCATTCCATACACCAAATATAGTTGACATATATTGCTTATAGTACATTGCAGTGTTCTCCCCAGGATTTTTGGATAGCACCAGCGTAACGCGTGTGGACTTCTTGGTGAAATATTTCATGCAATCAGTTGTGGTGCGTCGCGTCGCGTCGCTTAGCTCTAGTTACTGTAGTTTATATGTCTCTTGTTTTGTTTTAACACTGTGGTACTGTGTTATGTAGACATTCAATTTGATTCAGAAAATTATTGGTAAAAAAGAAGTAAATAAAAAAAACAGTTTGTATACTTTAATATTTTTTTTAAATAAATAAATTATGATTCATAATAAAATATTCATCTGAATTTAAAGTAATTAAATCTTTTATAAAATCCAAAATCAATAAAAATAAAATATCATTCAAAAGAGAACAAAAATGTTCAATTAATTTAAAAAACTTTCTATTTTCTAGAAAAAAAGTTGTATGTGAAAGGATTCCTGTCATAAGAAGATATAAAATTAACAAGAACAATTGCAAATATTGTTTTATTATTTGAACCAGTTTCTATCTTAGATTTTAATAAAAAGAAATTTTTCATAAATTTTAGAACATTTTGCCATAGGTTTCATGTAAATATTAACCTTTCTTGTCTTTGGTGATAATCAAACATAGATACAGACTTAATACTGCCCTAAAATCTAAATCTTTATTTGTCATGAACCATTTAAAAAGAATTCCTCAATCTATAAATTTATCTTTGGTCTATAGATCTATAAGTAACCATATTCAATGTCAACAACCAAGTCTCACTATTTTCCCGCCTAAATGACAGGAAGTAGATATAAATAGATTTAACATGTGCTTATGGATAAAATTTGCAAGATTACTTCTGTTATTCATTAATTATGGATATAGATATCCAGTTTGAAGGTACAGTCATGCATTTTATTTATAAAATATAATAGATTGCATTTAATTGTAAATAAACTTGAATATTCTACGTGAACTAACTGGGTCATGTGATATGTACAGACAGTTTGAAACCCGACTTTCATGCAATAACAATGTCATAATTAAAGATAATATTGGCCATGGTTTAATCAGAGACATATAATACTATAATATAAGAATTGGGAAATGTATAGTTGTCCATTATACATATTGAGCCACCATTATGATGTACAAAAAATGTTCCTATCGGGTCAAGACACTGTTTGTGTACAAAGTATTTGCCGACTTGTCACAGGTCAGTGCTTGGGTGGAGAGTGAAGCCATAAAATAGTTATCTGTGATCATAAAGTTATGAACTCTTAATTTAAACACAAAAGAATCATGTTACAAGTGTTAATTACATCGATTAAATCCAATCAACAAGGTAAACCTCATAAGGTAAATCGATCACGTGGTGTAAATAATCTGTGTTGAACTGGTTTGAACTGGTCAAATTTCACCTGGAATTTTATACCGCACGGAAAAGATTTAACAAGTCATTTAAAACTTTACCGATTATGATTTTTTAACTGAAAATTTTAGCACCACGGAGAAAAATTATACATCGCGGTAAGAACGATACCACCATGGTAAAAAATTATACATCGCGGGCCCGCTGTCCTTTAAGGGCCTGGGGAGAACACTGCATTGTACTTGAAAAACAGACCAAAACACAGAAACTTAACATTGACCAATGAACCATGAAAATGAGGTCAAGGTCAGATGAAACCTGCAAGACTGACAAGTACCCATAACAATCATTCCATACACCAAATATAGTTGACCTACTGCTTATAGTATTCGAGAAACGGACCTAATCACGTAGCTTTAACCTTGATCACTGATCCATGATATGAGGTCGAGGTCAGGTAAACTATGTCTGACGGACATGTAGACGTTGTAAGGAACCCATATATCAAATATAGTTATCCTATTACTCATAATAAGTGAGATATTCACATGACAAAAAAACTGAAATTTGTTTTCAAGCAGTCGCTGAACCATGAAAATGAGGTCAAGGACAATGGACATACATGTATGTTTGACAGAAACTTTGTAACATAAGGTATTTGCATACAAGATATGAAGCATCCAGGTCTTCTACCTTCTGAAATATAAAGCTTTATACAAAAAGTTTACCCCGCCACCGGATAGTAATACCTATGTCTCGCATACTGTGACATCGTCGCAGGCGAGACAAAACTTCAATATATACCAGAGAATCCAAAAAATATAACTTTCTGTTTTCTGTCTTTGATGTATGCACCATAATCTTTTCCTGTTTCAATGGGGGAAGCCAACTTGGAGCTATAATTGTTGTATAACCATGATAACAACCGACTTCAGCATATATCATGTATATCAAAGGGAAGTAATTTTCCTAAAATAAACAATAAAACAATTAAAAATAGCACTTGATTTCCCACAAATTTGCAAATACATTATAAAAAAAATAATGGCAATAAAACAATGAATATAAAATTTGTATCATTTTACAAAATTCGTCCGGTTTCACACGTAACATTTGATATGTTAATGTAACCCTATGTTTGCTACTCTACTGACAAGGTTACAATATATTCCTACCATTTCTCAAAATGGAGCAAAAATGAATTCGTCATTTAAGTAGCATAAAGTCAACCATTCTTATATGAAACACATTTAATGACAATAAAGAATGAATATCTGACAGGTTGACATTAAGAGAAGTTTATTTGAAATCATAATTTCAATTATACATCCTCTAATAAAGATCAATATTGCATTACATGCAATGAAAATATAACACAGGTAAATGTTCCTCATTTCATAAGCCAAGATAGTGTAACGTTTATGGGTCATCGTAAATCCCCTTTTTCTAGTCCAGACTTGGATATTTAAACCTTGTCTGTACAATAATTCTTAAGATTGGGGAAAACTTTCGTACTGGTAAGTTGTACTTTAAATTTCATTTTATTCGTTTTCAATGTTTGACTTTTTTTTTTAAAATTTATTTCTTTACATTTGATATATTTTTCGGTTTTAGAGTCAAACATTTCTAAATTTGTAATTTACGTTTTTCCAAAAAAATAGAAGGAATTGTACACTAGCTAGATATTTTATGATTTCGGGTTTATAAAGAGATGGGGTACATTTTGGTAGCGATATTGAAGAAGATGGTTAATCCAAGGGATATGTTAGAGTAACGGTCGTCAACCTTTGGAATTGTTCAAGCCTTACTCTTGAATTAAATTTTGTATTAACGCATGTTTTTTTTAAGGTCTTGATGAACTGGTCCATGCTACTGAATAATGTGTTTCAGACATTGCTCTTGTTGGACCGAGAATTAAACGGGAATAGAGATAATGCGATGTTATTTTTTTTTTTACTGGACTGACTTTGGTTCCTAGTACATGGAATTACGAGGTTCATGTTCTAGTCTAAAAAAGTCGGTGGGAACCAGTGGGTATATTTATTTTATCTCGGAAGGTGGGACGTCACGAACTTAATTGATGTTAAGAACAACTAGTGTACAGTTCTTAATAATTTAAGTAAACAGACACATCTAAATCTCTTGGTGTGATTATATTTATTCTAATCAATTTTATAGCACTAAGGCCAAACACTTTCCTTATACTTGGTTAAGTTATTATGGGTATTTTTCACTGCAATTGCATCGCCCTGTTTATTCTATAAGGTGAGGTTCGAAATTATATTGAAATTTTAGGATTAAAATTTCATATACATGTAGTGACACCACGATATTGTGTATTATTGTATTGGCTATTAAATATGAAACTGTTTTATGAATCTTGGTTATTTGTTATATGAGCGAATACATTGCATGGTGCAATCTTCACCTCTTGTCATTTCTACATTTTGTAGGTTTCTGACACCTGTCATTAGTTGAATTGGTTGGTTCTTGGTATTGTCAGTATGCTGTCCGAAGACCTGGAGCGAAAGCACAGGCCGAACCCTCTCTACCAGTTACGTAAACGGTTGAGCTAGCAGGATATTATTTCATGAGACAAAATATTAACAGAACATCCGTTTACATAGAAAAACCTGTTTACCTTGCAATACACCAATGAATAGGCTCATAGATGTAAATAAGTGAGCCTAGGAGTCTTATCAAACTTTTCTGTGTTGTCTTCATAAATGGTTCAAGTTGTCTTTAAAAGTGGACCGAGTTGTCCTGGTTCGTTTTTTATCTTATTCATTTTTGTGGATTTTCTTTTATGAACAGATATTAAAGCTGAATTAGATTTCCAAGCAGCTTTGGACTTAAAATAACCTCTTAAAAGCACAGAAGTACTTGCTACCGGATTAAGCCTAAACGCACTTACAAAGAGACTGGTAATTGCTGCATATGAAGTGTTCTTTGCACTTATATTTCATTTCATGTACTAAATCTTGGTAACTATTTTTTTTTGTGAATAAAAATTATAACCGGAAATAAGAAACATAATGAAAACGTCGCCCAATACCGGAAAATACCCGACATTATTACGGACAGATTCGTAAACAGCTGACGACGAAGGTCTTGTAGCTGCTCAAGTCCAAATCGCGTAAACCAAAAACCATCAATACTATATCTTTATTAATTAAATATAAGAACAATATTCAGAATATTGAATACCAAGACCCAATAGGACACAGTATTCATAATGTCACAGTTTGGTTTTTAACTTGCCGAAATGTTACAAACAGTAATAAATATAGAAGAAACATGCATCTAAAATTTGCAGACTCCTATAATTCAAATGTAGAACACCAACTACTACCCGTAGCTGCTAATACATGTCCAGTAAATGACATATCGCAAAAGCTCAACAAAGGGATACCAAAAAAAAAAATCCCAGAAAGAAAATCCTGGAAAGCTGCCAAGTTAATTAAGGTAGATCATAGGTATATATTTCCTCAGATAGATTTTTTTTATACTTTGCCAAAATAAAGATTTTTCTATGCTTTTTCCAAAAATATAATAAAAAGTATGGGTCACCGTGCTATTTTTCAAGCTACGGGTCGTACGAAATTGCACAAATTTGCTAAGATTGTTCATGAAAAAACACATTTTTATGCATAAAAAGAAATCTATGAGATAGAATTTTGAAATAAAATATGAGAAGATGGGTTTTATAATATGCTTTAAGAAAATAAAAAGAAAAAATGGTGTCACCGAACTTGTTTTCTTACTACAAGTAAAAAATGAAAATTTCCCTATCAGTCCAGTATAATTTTTTTTATTAAAAGAGTTATCTCCCCTTAAATGGCCAAGTTGAAAAAATGATTTTAAAAACACAATAATTTGGTATTTATTTAAACATTTTGAATAATGCAATAAATCACCAAGTTTTCTTTCATTAAATAAACAGTCTAACCTATAAATTGCCTATCTGTCTCCAAATTTGCAGATTTGGGCAAAGATCTAGACCGATTGTGTACTGCGATTGTACAATCCAAGATGGCGGTATACCATGAATCTACCTTAAGTAGATTCAGATGCTTACCAAGGATTTGTGATTTAGTGAGATCTCACTATGCAAATCTTTGTGCTTACCAATTCGCAGATGACACAAAGATGTTTAGAATAATAAAAGATAAAAAACGATAGGAATTGACAAGAGGACCTACACAAGTTGGAAGCATGTAGCGATAGATGGCTTTTAAAATTTCATCCCGAGAAGTGTAAACATATGAACATTTGTAAGAAAGCAAACAGCAGCGATCAATCACCTAGTTACAGTCTACTCAATAAAACAATCACAAAGGTCAAGGAGGGAAAAGATATAGGAGTCTTAATCGACTCAGAACTCACATTCGAAAATCATATAAGTTTAAACGTCAATATTAAAGGCCAAACCAGAGACATAGTATTATATATGTCTCTGGCAAAACTCAATCTTTGCGGTTCTCAGGAGAACATTTAAATATTTGGGTACAGAGACATTCTTACCATTGTATAAAACTATGGTAAGAACTCACCTGGACTACGCAAGTCAGTCAGTTTGGTCACCATACAAGAAAAAGATATTGACAAGATAGAAGGAGTTCAACTTGAAGAAGGGTAACTAAACAGCTACCAGGCCTCAAAGATATGAGTTATCCAGAGAGATTGACAAAAATCTAGACTTACCTACATTATCATATAGGAGAATAAGAGGGGATATGATCGAAACATTCAAAATTGTAAATGGCTACTATGATAAGGAAGCAAGCTCTTTTTTCAAATTGACAGAAGACTCATTACAAAGAATTAGTAGCAGAACAAATAGTAACAAAGTGGTCCACCAAAGGTTCAATCAAGTATCAGAAAACACTCTTTCTCAGTAAGAATAGCCCGGAAAATTTGGAACAAACTGCCAGACGATGTTACCAAAGCCCCCTCCATCAATACCTTCAAAACCCGGTTAGACAAACATTGGATAAATGAAGAGAATCATTACAATGATTATAGGGCAGAAATATCCGGAAGTCACGAAACTAATAGTAAATCAAATAAGTTAAATTATGAGTCTGGTGAAGAGGAACCGTAAGGATCCTGTACTGGAAAACAACTCTACGTAACTCTAAGTAAGTAACAACTGACCATCGACAAAAAAAGATAAAACTGAGAAAATGGGAAGAAGACTGACCATTAATTAAAGAGAAAGCAATAAAATAAGACAATGAAAGATATGTGAGGCTTGAGAGGTTAGAAAATGAAAAAGGATAAATATGAACATTAAATCGCAAAGTCGTACAACTTGAAGATTCACAGAAAAACCTTTTAAGAACATACAGACATCAGCGATAACATTATTGAACAAATGAGAAATCACAGAATGGCAAACTTGTTAACAGCATACATTATAGATTAACAAATAACATTCTCAAGCAAGTCAATATGCAAATTAAAAAAAATGGAAACCACAAAGTGTACATCGTGAAATATCTGATACTCATTCCAATACTACCCATACTTGCAGTGTTTCTGGAGTGATTAAAGGAAGCCCTGTTCACCAAAACTTATATTTTAATCCAGTAGCACACCCGGAACAACCAACTTACTATAGACCCAACAAACCACCACACACTCAACCTGTTTTTAAAATACCTCACAAGTACATCAAATTGAAAAGAAGTTTATACCAACGTATACTTCACACATGCAATACTCCCATGAAAAAGAAATACATAGATACAGCAACTGTACTCAAAATGTGAATAAGGGAAGCCCTGTTCACGGTTCAACTGAGCTCTTTGAGTAACTCGCAACATGACCATAGGTATTTAGGAGAAAACACTCAACATTTAACAAGCCCGCCTAATCAATCGATCATAAGTCACAGTACCACTTCACCCAGTTCTATAATATCTCACAGTACAAAACTTAGTCTTGAAAGCACCATTGCAAATCTCAATCATCCAAACAGTCGATATGGAAGCTCTCCGTATAAAAGGCACATCGAACAAAAGAATGGCTCCCGTACGCTTTCGGAGTAGCTTATTACCTAATAAACACACCAAGGAAATACTGTAAATTATTATATACCCACCGTCTACGTTCTCTGTAATCAATTAGCAAATCTTAAACATCAGCAATAGAGATATTTTTTTAAGGGAAAGCCCGTTCCAACTGGACCTGAAGTAGCTTCTTACCAAACCACCACGTTATATCTGAACAATACACAAAGATATGCCAATTGATCAAATGATTATATTAGTTCACCATTTAAAAACCACATCTCATTGGCTTTAATAAGCCCTCTATTTCTAAAAGTCACACATAGACAGTATGTTCAAATGGAGTGAAACATTGCTATTACGTTTCCACCCTGATAAATGCAAAGTATAATCAATTCCCACTAAATCCACATCTGGACAAGGTGGCTGATATAAAATACTGACGTACGATGTATCTAAAACTAACCTTCAACAGTTTAATAAGAGAAAGACGTAGGAGTGACTATCGACGCCAAACTGAAATTCGACAAACACATACAGACACAAGTTTACAAGGCAAACCAACTTGTTTTAATAATTAGAAGAACCTTTAAATATTAAGACTACAATAGCATCTACATACTGTTCAAAGCTCGTCCACATCTTCAGTAAGACAGCAACACACCAGCACAAAACCAGAAGATATTAAGAGGTCAACGCGCGATCTTCAACAATAGTCAGGAGTCTATACAATATGCCAAGCTCTTTTAAAATAGTTCAGAGTCTAGAACAGAAATGAAAAAAATTGCAGAGACTGTCAAACGTCTGCCATCTATACAAATTCTTCAAAATGCCAAAAGCACATCAGGTATGACAAAAAACAAAACTGACGATATCGCTTCCAGGCTGTACTTCATAAAAGATTTTATACTGCAACGGTATAAAACAATTCCCAGAACAAACTGTACAACATTTGAGTACAGAGAAAATCGTGTCCGGCGCGCTTCAAACTATAATCTATCGATTTGATGTTCATCCCTAAAAATACCAGACTCAGTGATTGAACCGTGTAATGACAACCATTATGACAATAAGTTCTTTAAGCCGAAAATAAAGATTCTTAAAATTGTCAGCTTTATAAATAATATTACCATAAAGAGCTTAATGTGAAATAACACTGTTTTATTATATTCCCACAGATTAAATTATATTTCCACAATAAATCTCTTTATCGGCAATTATTTCATGTTATTTCATATTCTCAAACAAAAAAATCATATTGTTCAGACAAAATTGCCGTTAAAAATAGAAACAGCATTTTATTTTTTGACACTGACTTCATAAGCTCGAATATCAGCTCGCCCTTGCGGACTCGCTTGATATTCTTGCTGATAAAGTCAAAAACAAAAAATCCATTTTATATATGTATCAGGTACTGTCCATGATCTTAGTAGGCAGTAAGATCAAAGGGAAAATGTAAAAAGTGGCGATAAATATAGAATAATGGCAGCAAGAATATCAAGCGAGTCCGCAAGTGCAAGGTTTTTCTGTGAATCTTCAAGTTGTACAACTTTGCGATTTAATGTTCATATTTATCCTTTTTCATTTTCTAACCTCTCAAGCCTCACATATCTTTCATTGTCTTATTTTATTGCTTTCTCTTTAATTAATGGTCAGTCTTCTTCCCATTTTCTCAGTTTTATCTTTTTTTGTCGATGGTCAGTTGTTACTTACTTAGAGTTACGTAGAGTTGTTTTCCAGTACAGGATCCTTACGGTTCCTCTTCACCAGACTCATAATTTAACTTATTTGATTTACTATTAGTTTCGTGACTTCCGGATATTTCTGCCCTATAATCATTGTAATGATTCTCTTCATTTATCCAATGTTTGTCTAACCGGGTTTTGAAGGTATTGATGGAGGGGGCTTTGGTAACATCGTCTGGCAGTTTGTTCCAAATTTTCCGGGCTATTCTTACTGAGAAAGAGTGTTTTCTGATACTTGATTGAACCTTTGGTGGACCACTTTGTTACTATTTGTTCTGCTACTAATTCTTTGTAATGAGTCTTCTGTCAATTTGAAAAAAGAGCTTGCTTCCTTATCATAGTAGCCATTTACAATTTTGAATGTTTCGATCATATCCCCTCTTATTCTCCTATATGATAATGTAGGTAAGTCTAGATTTTTGTCAATCTCTCTGGACTCGCTTGATATTCTTGCTGATAAAGTCAAAAACAAAAAATCCATTTTATATATGTATCAGGTACTGTCCATGATCTTAGTAGGCAGTAAGATCAAAGGGAAAATGTAAAAAGTGGCGATAAATATAGAATAATGGCAGCAAGAATATCAAGCGAGCCCGCAAGGGCGATCGAGCTGATTTTCGAGCTGATGAAGTCAGTATCAAAACAAAAAATAAAATGCCAGTATTCTTTTTATCGTCAATTTTGTCGACAATATGTTTTTATTGTCAGTATCGATATCAACCTAAACTTTATCACATTACTTTTAGAGTTTCTGAACGGTTAAAAGACCACAAATCAAAAGAACTATAAAATATGTAGGTGAATAGATATAATTAGAAACATTCAAGGTTCCTTGTGTAGTTTAGGAAGAAAATACATAATTTTCAACCTTGGGGTGTTCAGTCGTTGTTGGTGCATGTTCATTTACGCCTTTTTCTTCAGTAGAAGTTGGATGTATACACGTACTGGTATTTGTGATGTCAGTTTTAAGTATTTCACTTGTAAAGAACTTACGTCAGACAACGATTAAATGTTATTAACTGCTTTGCCAGCAGGTACAAAAACAAAAAGCTTTCCGAGAGTATTCATAATTTGTTTTCAGTCTATATATCACATTAGAAGAACGGGTTTGAATAAAAGTCATTTTCGAAATGTTTAATACGATAATCAACATGATTCATGCATTTTTGAAAAAGAGACAAATGTTTACAGTATTAGTTTCCTCTCTCCTGCACCAAGATTGGCCATAAACGTAAACAAGTCGGCGATGACGTAACGTCATTCCTTCCAGCTAATTTAGACGGTGGGCTATATTTCGTTCCCTTTTTAATATGTGTCAGTGAACCATGCTAAGGTCACCTATAGTAATATGCCCAGAAGGATCATATCTAAACTTCGAACTCTCGCCGTCTCAAGAGCTGTTAGTGTTGTTTTCAATACCAAGTTTGAAGTAATAGATGTATATATTGTTAATCATTATAATTCTGCTATGTTTTTGTTAAGTGTAAGATTGGATACAAGGTGCGGATAATTCAGTGTCAAAATATATAGATTTTTTAACGTTCAGAAAATGTGTTATTGCGAACTTATTGAAATCTTTATTACAAATTATGAAATAAGTTCCAACGGATTACAATTTTTAAAACTTTTTTTTTAGAAATATACATATATGTCTTTATATAATTTGGCAATTTTTACACAAGAACTTGTTAAATATCTTTGATTATAAAATTGAAAATGGAAACGGGGAATGTGTCAAAGAGACAACAACCCGACCAAAGAGCAGAAAACAGCCCAAGGCAACCAATGGGTCTTCAACACATCTAGAAAATCCTGCACCAGGAGGCGGGCTTCAGCTGGCCCTAAACAATAATGTATACTATAGTTCAGCGAAAATATATATTATTACCACTTAGTACATGATTCGGCCGGCATTTATTAATCTCACTAATAATTGCATGACCAAATAACATGTGAATGATTTACACGTGTTATACTCGTGTATAAATGATAAGCTCGAATGTACTTTTACATTTCAAACTGAGTGGTTGCGTTATTTTTTCTTTTCTATCTTGTTGTCCATTGCACTATATTTTTCCTTATTTGTCTGTCTCTTGTAACAGTGTAAACTGTCATGAGTGTTAAGGATGTTCGCTCCTCTGTTTCAAAATAACGAGCATTTTAAAAGACTTTTATAAATTGATAGGATATATATAACGGAACTTAAAAAGTAGAAAAAAATATAGGTACGTGTCCTTGTTTTTGAGATATAATCAATTGAACATTTGGCGGGAAATGATTCTCTTTTGATTTTTCATACATTAAACATCGGCACCTTTTTCTTTCAAAAGCTATGAAAAAATAACAAGGCTTTTTATAAGATTTTCAAATATGGTCTTTTAAAACTATTTGTAATAAAACTATGAAAAGAAAAATAGGGGTTACCGGTCAAAATGTTTAATGGCACTACATAGATAAAACCGGAGGATTCCGAATATTTGACAAATTTCAAAAACAAGAGGTGCGAATAAAGTTCTTAATATAGTTTGTATAATTTTCTAAAATAACAAATAACTGGTTTTTATCCCATTTAGGACCTCCAAATATATAATTTGTATATAATTAAATAGTTCATTAGAAACTAAGTTTTCAACTCCCTCAGGTAAAGTTGACCTTAGATGGATTTGGCTTTTTTTATGTCATTTTTGGTAATATAGCTCTTCATCTGTTTCGGTTCTTATACATCATTGGCTTTCAAATATTCGGCTTTGCGTTTTCCTGATGAAGGTAAATCCAGAAAAAACGCTTCGGGCGCATGAAATTTATAATGTGTTGTTTTCATTTTTTCATAATGAATATAATAAATTATTAATTGATTTAAAGGAGTTTAATTAAATGTCACAAATAAAGCTAAACGAGTACAAAAGAACAGAAACTTAATTATGGAAAAATGTAGCAGATTATTTTATTTGATATTCCATGAAACCCAGACGTTTGGTTGTCAGTGTTATTTCATTTGTAAAACAAATTCGTATTAAACAACGAGTAGTACAAACACATGTCCAATAAGAAGGATTGAAATTTTCTATTAAAATCTCATTCTTCAGGGTTTTTCTGTCTCTTGGACATCTTCATTCGGAAATGTATTTAGCGGTTATATTCCAGAAAAATTTCTTCGTGATTTTTTCTAATTAGACTTTCTAAAAAGGCGGAAAGTCCAAACATAAGTTCATGTAAACGTAACCAAATACTTGTGTAGGATTATTTAATTAAACTTCGCTATCTTCACAACGTAGTTATTTTCAATTTGGAATACAAGAGATAACTAGAAATAACAAAAAACAATCGACCTGCAGTTTTGATTTGCATTTTAAAATAACTAATTATTTTGTAAAAATAGCGGACAATTAACCAGTACTTATATAACCTAATACTATCGGAGTTCCAATAGATAACGAAATCCGAGAGGTGATACGTTCACCTGTTGTAATCTCACGAAATGAAAATAAACCCGATGGCGGTGTTTTATTTCCTTCTTGTGACCATTCTACCCGCGGTTGTTGTACCATTACCAAACACAAACCTACTGAAGGAAACATTGTCTACGGTAGATAGGGCATTGACATTTTTTAGTTCAGATTATAGTAGTATCAATGTGGACGGATTATTTGGACTAAGAATCGGACAGGGTGAGTGTCAATATTTATCATAGTCATAATATTAATAAGCCAATCTATAGATGAACGTATTGCATTAATATAACATCAATGAATTAGTATACCCCACATTTTTATTCATATTTAAATGTCAACAGAAAAAAAAAGAAAAGAAAAGAAAGGGTGTTATCAATTATAAATGTATGAATTCCAAGCGTTATATGTAGGCAATAGAGAAATGCAAGTTTTGTTTATTTATTTTACGTTTTAAACAATTTACACAGTGACACATACGTGGTATTTGGGTCCTTTTGATGATATCCTATACAGTTTGGATATGCCACGTTAAAAACAAGGAAAATGATATCTTAAATTTGAGACTCTATATTTATTTGCCGACTACCTATTCTTGATAAAAGGGTGTTTCTGTGTAAATGATCTAAAATAAATATTGCAGTCAAACTATTCAAATGGCAATAACTGTAACTTTATAGAGGCAACATATTTAGAAAGTTGTGGTTATCATTCTCAATAGTAACCAGTGAAACAAGACGTTTTGGTAAACCATTAAAATTCATATTGTGTCTATTGATAATAACAGAAATCGCCTACGGATACGATTAAGATAGGAAAATAATTAGTTTTAAGCTAATGCTGATGAATGTCAATTACAGAATTAAAGTTTCAGTTTGAGAGTAAGCCCATAACAAAAACCAGAATTAATCCTCGTAGACATGCAAAGACTTTTTGATGTACGATATACATGACATTCGTATATAGCATCTATTTTCTATCGGTTCTTAAACAGAAATTACACTGAATGCCCTGTGTAATAATGTTATATTTTAACTGAAATACTTTCAATTCTTGTTTAAATACTAAACCAGATTTTGTGAGAACCAGATGTTTATTTATTGATTTGGTAATTGAAACACAATTCCAAAAAAACGTGTTCATCAATGCAGAAATCAGATATATTTTAACAGATATCAGTTACTTAAATAGTTAAAATAGACTATAATAAGGCTACTGTTAATATAAACGGCCAAATGTTGAATTGAAGCTTAGAACAGCGTTGTCGACTCTTTTTTTTTGTTCGTTGTTGTTGAACATGCATTGCATGCGACATGAAAGTTTTAAAATTTCCCCTTTCTTCTCAAAACTAACTGTTGCAGAAAAAAGGCCTTCAAATTATATTCCATTATCTTTTTCTTTGTTTAATCTTTTTTTTATTGACAAACCACATTGAAATAAGGAAAATACATGCATGGCTCCGTGTTGAAGGCCGTACTTTGACCTATAATTATTAACTTTTTATACATTGTGACTTGGATGGAGAGTTGTCCCATTGGCACTCATACCACATCTTCTTATTTATATGGATAATTAAAAAAATTAATAAGGAAAACAAAAGAAAAATCAGTGAGCAGATATTTGAGAAATAGGGAATGTCTTGAACTTCATTCATATATAATCCAGCTGGCAACGTTATAATACCTCTCTACACATTTTAATGTGTAAAAAAATGGGATTAATATTTGTTAGTCTACACTCACATAAACTGAACATATAGCATTAAAATCCTGTCACATGCCGTAAAAGAGAAGATTAAGAATGACAATAATTTTTCGAATGGCTTAAGGTTGTGTATTAAGAAAAAACTTTATAATAACTATGTCTTCAATCATACTTGTACAACATCTATGTTCAAAACACGACATGTTACTAGGCACACGTCTCACGTCCATTACAAGACAAAACATAATTAGTTATTGTGTGTAATTTGATAATGTAAACATTACCATGTCTTGACAATTCATTTGAAAAAACCCAATACATGTAATACATACAACAACGATACTTGATAAAGAAGATATTCTAAACAATCATTGGTCATTTTTTACCCCACCTACGGGCATTATGTTTTTTCGGTCTGTGCGTCCGTTCGTCCGTCCGTCCGTTCGTTCGTCCGTCTGTCCCGCTTCAGGTTAAAGTTTTTGGTCAAGGTAGTTTTTGATGAAATTGAAGTCCTATCAACTTGAAACTTAGTACACATGTTCCTTATGATATGGTTTTTCTAATTTTAATGCCAAATTAGAGTTTTGACCCCAATTTCACGGTCCACTGAACATAGAAAATAATGGTGCGAGTGGGGCATCCGTGTACTATGGACACATTTTTGTTTGTCTTTTTTGTCTTTCGGCCATTGACATAGATCTGCCGGGATCTTCATTTGCTCTACCCGATACCCAAATTATTTAAGTGTCGATATTGCTGGTCTACATAATGCTTCTCGAAACCTGTTTCCACATATGTTTTACTGAAAAAGGGATATTTTTGTGTTTTTTAACAAGATTAGTAGTGTCTTGCGGCTTTACTGATAAGGATTGATTTTTATGTTTAAAGTCCTTCTGGTCATAGCCTTACCAATACCTACTTCACATAAACTAAGCAATATCATTATCCATGAAATTGAGGTCAAAGGTTCGATGAACCCTATGGACGATCATATACACGTTTCGATCATTCTGTATGCCGAAAACAGTTGACATGTTACTTTATAGTATTTGAGAAACAAGCATCACGAACACAATGTTGATCACAGAACCATAAAAACTGAGGTCAAGGTATTAAGGATCATTAAGATAAACTCTGAAAGAGACTCATACCTTGCAATGATTCCATATACCAAATATCACAAAACCTGAACACAAGTGACGTGATAACAACCATGAACATGATGTCAAGAGCAAAAGATATATATCAGGCGATATAAATGTGATGTAAAATAATTTCTTTCAATATAAATCTGTAAAATAAAATAAAATTTATATATATTTACAAGTGTGGACACAGATGAATGTGGATAGTATGTTTGGATGTTTGACAGTGTTTTATATGACAAAAGGAGTTCTATGTTTTTCCTACATGTTGTTATTTACTGTATGGCATGATGACAACCAACCTGAGCATGAGGAGTGTTGTTTATTTAATATTTAGATTTTATGTTCAAGACGGGCATGGAAGAGACACTAATTGCATTAATTACCAAATGATTATGATAGAATATTTTCCACATCTTTGATTTTGGATACATTTTGTAGCTAGGAGAGCAACACATAATAGGTTCATTTTTTCATGTGATTTTTTTTTAAATGGGAGACGATATCTGAGAACATGATATCAGGAGGCTGTAATTCAGTGGTTGTCGTTTGTCTATGTGTTACATAATATTTGTTTTTCGTTTATTTTGTGTACATAAATAACATAAATGACTATGTGTTATGGGCTTTGCTCATTGTTGAAGGCTGTACGGTGACCCGTAGTTGTTAATTTCTGTGTCATTTTGGTCTGTTGTGGAGAATTGTCTCATTGGCAATCATACCACATCTTTTTTATATGTATTTGCTCAATATTTGTATGGTTCTATTTATATTACTTTGTGGTGGATTTTAAGTATCATTAGTAAAATATTTTGTTAAAATGTCGAAATTGTTTCTCAGATTAGAAGACATTTATTGGTTTTTAGTAATGACAATGCCTGACATGATGCTTGGGGCTAGAAGAGCTAGAAAGTAAACTTCTGTGTTGTTTTTTATCAATTCTTTGATAACATATCCTCCAAAGCTGGCAGAAGCAAAAAAAAGTTTTGACCAATATGAAAATGATATCAACAAAAAAACCTTTGTGAGCATGCTTCAAAGACTCATAACTGCTCCAAAAGTAATCTGATAGAATTTCAAGCATGTCAAGTGGGTATTATGAAAATCTACTTAATATGTCTAAATATCAAAAAAGTTATAGTATTCAATATGAAAAAGGTATTGCAAAATTATTCTCTTTTCAATTTTTTTTGTTATATGGATACAAATATAAATGATACCAATACAGTATTTGTTGTGGTATGAAAGTGTAGTAATTAATATTTACTGTAACAATGTTAATTCACACAAATTAAGAAATAAACAAATGAATAGAAAATGTTGAACATGTACAATGAAATATAGTTTTAGAAATCAATTAGGCCAGATAGGCCTTATAAATTTTGCCCTTTTTTTTTTAACATACTGAATGACCATTTACACTCAGGACCGAGTCATCAGTAGGCAGTACAGATGTATTAAAACAACCTAGCATCATATTGCTAGTAGCGAGTGTAGCATTGTCGGGTAAATTTGTTCTTTTTTTTAAATTTGGTTAATGGACAAAAAATGTTAGGTTCAAATCATAATAAAATGCTTTTATCTCCTTATTACTTACATTGTACATAGAATGGATACTACCCTGACAAATCCTTGTACATGAGAGTTGTCTGTCAAATCTTTATTTCACAAAGAATGAATTGCATAACAATGAACTGAGCTCAAAGCAAAGCACTTTAATAATACACTTAGACAAAGAGCTCAATCCAGTGATATACTTTGTACTACAGGTCCTTCATGAACATCCTATCCACCAAAACCATATCTCACAAACATGCCATACTACATGGTTGGATCAGAGGTCCTGAAAAGACATGAATTTTATTATCGTATTTTAATTATATATACACAGGTTAAAAGTTATATACTCCAATGGCAGTCTTTCCTGCTAAAATGTCATGTGTAGAATGTGATATACCATTTTTGGGTCTATATGGATACTGTTCTTTATATTTATTAGGTCATTTTGACACAGCAAAATAAATAGAAAATGTTAACTTTGATCTGAAAATTGAGTTCTTTTTTGCAAAATAAACCCACTAAAACTAAACTTCGAATGCAAAAGACCCCTAAATGGCTAACAAATATTGCTATAAAGAATAGTCCATGATGATTCTTGTTATTAAGGAGTTCATGAAATGTACACCGATTCTGTCAGTTGAATGGACTAGAATGAGATAAGTTATATAAACATAAAGGTTTTTTCAACAGTTGTGGTGTAAATTAAATCAGTTTTATTTTATGGTTGACATATTTAAGTATATATGTAGATCATTGGCTTTTCAACACATTGATATTTTACAATATCGATTGTCTATTTATTGTTATGTTGTTGGTATTTTTCACCTTCCTAAAACAGTTTTAACGCAACATACACACAAGCTTGATAGATCTTGATAGGGTGTCCTCACATATTTTGATGTTGCTGAAAAATTTTGGTCGACATATGTATCCTCTTCTCATCATTTTTCGTGCTATTAAGAATGCATACTGTCGTCACAATTTCCATTGAAAAGGCAAGCATAGTACAAATTCATATGACGTACGAAAACATATGATCTGACCATATACATGTACATGTATGTATAGGTTATCAGCTTTTCTACACATATTAGCCAGTAAGCCGCAATGAACCTATTATGGCGAGTGAGCGCAGGTAATGAGCTAAAATGAATCAAATTGTGTCCTCAGTGGGGGATATTTTAAGGGATCTATATGAAGAAAACCTGATCATCTGTTTATCGTTCTATTACTGGCTTTTTCACCTCCCTAACTTGGCCTGAGACAGTTTTTACAGACGAAAGGAAGCTTCATAACTACTCCTCACACACATGTATAGATTATCGGCTTTTCTACATGTCATGAATATCGTAAAATGTTAGCCAGTGAGCAGGCCCGCACTGAACCTTTTTAGCGAGTGAGCCCAGCTAATGAGCTAAAATGAATCAAATTGTGTACTCAGTCACAGTTGGTGACATTTTAAGGTATCTACACAAAGAAAACCTGCTTATATAAATCTCAGTGGCGGATCCACAACTTTTCATAAAAGGGGGGTGGCCGCTGACTGACCTAAGGGTTGCCCACTCCCGTCATGCTTCCCCAGTGGCGGATCCGGGGGAGGGTTCCGAGTGCTGGAACCCCACTTTTTTTGGACGATCAATGCATTTGAATGGGGACACATAGTTGGAACACAACCCCCACACCCATTGTCCTGAGTTGGGAACCCCCCTTTTATAAAATGGCTGGATCCGCCCCTGCTTCCCTATAAAATCAACCAAATTTTCCCCACACCCTGGATCCGTCCATGTAACTGTTTATCGTTCTGCGTAATACTGGCTTTTTTCACCTCCCTTACTTGGCCCTAGACAGTTGCTTATCTCAATATCTGTTTATCGTTCTGTCACTGGCTTTTTTTTGGCTAGAGACTCCATGTGTACAAACCTGACGTCAAACTCGTGTACTATAAAAGAAGAGACAAATGATTTCACATTAAATCCTGTAACATTACATCTAAAGATAATTATAATCCAAAGTAAATTATATTACGATGTCAATGGACTAAATTCCCGCGCAAATGTCATCACTGGGATAGACCAAAACGAATTTTAGGTTTATGTTTGCCTCAACCAAATGTTATGAAACTTATACACAGTGCTTATTACCCCAAAACACAGATCAAGTTTGAATTTTGGTGGCGTCACTGTAACCGTTCTAGAGTTATGCCCCTTTATAAATGGAATAATTGGAAAATTTTTAGTTTCCGTTCTCTAACTTAAGTTTGCTTCAACCAAATGTTATGAAACTTATACACAATGCTTATTACCACAAAACACAGATCAAGTTTGAATTTTGGTAGCGTCACTCTAACCGTTCTAGAGTTATACCCCTTTATAAATGGAAAAATTGCAAAATTTTTATTTTCTTGTAAATATCAAGTAATTTATATTAAAATTGGAGTTATCTTCCTTTGTCCATGATTATAGTTGAATCAACTACAATCAATGCTTTATACAATGCAATGTTTAATTTTGACTTCCACTGATAAAACACAGATCAAGTTGAATTTGGGTAGTGTCACTTTAACCATTATTGAGGTATGCCCTTTATAAATCAAAAGATTGCAAAATTTTTAGTTTCCATTCTATTACTTTAGTTTGCCCCAACCAAACATTATGAAACCTATACACAATATTCATTACCACAAAACTAAGATCAAGTACAAATTTTTTGTTTCCGTTTTCTAACTTTAGTTTGCCTCAACCAAATGTTATGAAACTTATACACAGTGCTTATTACCACAAAACACAGATCAAGTTTGAATTTGGTGGCGTCACTTTAACCGTTCTAGAGTTATGCCCCTTTATAAATGGAAAAATTGCAAAATTTTTAGTTTCCGTTCTCTTACTTAAGTTTGCCTCAACCAAATGTTATGAAACTTATACACAATGCTTATCACCACAAAACACAGATCAAGTTTGAATTTTGGTGGCGTCACTGTAACCGTTCTAGAGTTATGCCCCTTTATAAATGGAATAATTGGAAAATTTTTAGTTTCCGTTCTCTAACTTAAGATTGCCTCAACCAAATGTTTTGAAACTTATACACAGTGCTTATTACCACAAAACACAGATCAAGTTTGAATTTCGGTGGAGTCACTTTAACCGTTCTAGAGTTATACCCCTTTATAAATGGAAAAATTGCAAAATTTTTATTTTCTTGTAAATATCAAGTGATTTATATTAAAATTGGAGTTATCTTCCTTTGTCCATGATTATAGTTGAATCAACTACAATCAATGCTTTATACAATGCAATGTTTAATTTTGACTTCCACTGATAAAACACAGATCAAGTTGAATTTGGGTAGTGTCACTTTAACCATTATTGAGGTATGCCCTTTATAAATCGAAAGATTGCAAAATTTTTAGTTTCCATTCTGTTACTTTAGTTTGCCCCAACCAAACATTATGAAACCTATACACATTATTCATTACCACAAAACTAAGATCAAGTACAAATTTTTTGTTTCTGTTTTCTAACTTTAGTTTGCCTCAACCAACTGTTGTGAAACTTATACACAATGCTTATTACTACATAGTACAGATTAAGTACGAAATAAGGTGGCGACACTTTTACCATTCTTGAGTTATGTCCCTTTATAAACATAAAAATTGCTGAATATTTTAGTTTGTTTCAACTTAATGTTATAAAACTTATACACAACTGTTCTAGAGTTATGCATGTTTACAAATAGAAAAATTGCTGAATTTTTAGTTTCTGTTCTCTACTTAAGTTAGCCTAAACCAAATGTTATGAGACTTACACACAATGCTTATTACCACAAAACTAAGATCAAGTTCAAATTTGGGTAGTGTCACTTTTACCGTTCTTCAGTTATGTCCCTTTATAACTATATGATATGCAAGCGGGGGCATCATCTGTGTCCACATGTGGACACTATCCACATTTATTTAAAAAGTGGGGCGAGTTGGTAAAGAAGAGTGGGGCGATTTTTTTAAAAGTGGGGCGAGTTGGTGAAAAAGTGGGGCGATTAGGTGTGGGGCGATTTGCCAGTGGGGCGATTTGTCCTGCTTCCATATTGATATAGGTGAAATATGTAGATTCAGAATTGTGTACACCGAAATAAGATCAGAAATAAAGCCCTATGTAAGGTGAAAACAATAACACAACTGTATAAAATCATTGTTTATTAAATTTGATTGCATAAGAACCATGAAGTTAAAATTTATAACGATTACGTTTATCCTGTCAACCCCTTTTCTTCATTGCATCAAGGCTTCCGTTGCTTTAATCGAGCAGCAATTCAACCAATCGGGGAATGTTAAGTTGGGACATACCTCTATTTTTGGAAGCGTGATCTTTACATCGAGGCTTGCGTTGCTTTACACCGAGGCCACAGTAGTTCGACCAATCGGGGAATGTTTATTTGGGGCATGTGACCTATTGAACTGCAGGTTTTATAATATTTTAATCGAAATTGTAGAAAAATGAAATGTTGTTAGTACATACAAAACAGAAAATGATGAATACTTTTAGTAAAAGATAATTTGGATCCGGGTTCTGTGTATTCACATCATTTGTACAACTCTCCTTACTGATGCCATTTTTTGGAATTTCTGTGACCTAAATGGTTCGCGAAAATTAATATTTTATTATATAGTATATTAAAAAGATATGGACTATCGAGGTCTTTAATATTTCTTAAAATTTTGATATATGAAACAGCATCCCTGTCAGATGTCATATCGTTCTGCTACATTCATAGTAGCAGACAGAAACTGATGGTTAAATTAGATGTTTTAAAATTGACTTGTTTCAATTTCGCATTTCGCAAATTAAAGAAATAATGGAATTCATCTAACGGTGTTAAAATCTATAATAAATAAGGTATAAAGGCATTTAAAAAACACCAATGAAGGAAATTATATTGCATCATAATTATTTCAATAATTTGGCGTTACAAGAATGATAATTGTTGTTTGAAGTGTTATATCAATAAACCGTTGAAAGGTCGTTTTATGTTCTGACCCTGTATAGTTATATGAATAATGTGATTATTCGATTGAAATATATTTGGCCTACATCTATTGTTTAATTAAATTTCATTTTATATAATCTTTGACATGAAACTGTTTATAAACGCACGAGTATTAAGGCTTCACATTACAAAAAAAAAACAATAATACTAATGAACGCTTTTAACTTTTATCAAAACTGCACGCATTTACGACTCTACACTTAAATAAAAAATACTGAAAATATTGCGTTAATTTTTCTGGTTAATGTTTTATTTTTGTGTGTTTAATTTGACACTTTCACCTGAGGCACCAACATTTAACTACAGCCACCACAGTTTCACTAGTGGGAACTGATTACCCTTGTTTCACCTCATTTTTTGTGGCTTTATGTTACGAATTTTTTTTTTTTGTGGCTTCATGTTACGAAATCTTTATTTTTTTTTGTGTAATGTTTTACATGTTTTAGGACTAATTGTGGTTTTGTAATCCCTCTTCCCCTTTGTCCATGATATTATCTGCTGTTCGGGGAACAATGATTTCTAATGGCCTCCTTGGTATCTCCTTCTGTTTTACAGGACAATTGATAGAGGCTGCAAATGTATGTGCCAAAAAGAAAAATTGTGCAGGTTATCTGCAACTTTTGAAATCTTTGACAAGCAAACTCGACGAAACATGCGAGAAAGCATTACCGTATATAGAACAGAGTGATCCTGATTATTACAAAAGATTTGAGCAAACAATTTCAAAACCATATATTCTACCATATACACCAACCAAATTTGATTCTTCTGTGTTGTCCAGTATACGAACCGGAACAAACTCAAGCTATGTGGAGGAAGAAGGAGACGCATGTTATGCAAGAATTATGGGAACTTTTGAGGAACCAAAAACAGGCTTGTAAGATACCAGATAATCTTTCTAACTTTCGAAATTAAACAAACCAATTTCATATTAACAACACATGCATGCTATATGATGCATACCAATATCCATACAGTGATATATAATACTAAACCCGTGTAAGCCTTTCTCTTTTAAGTCTTTGTTAATCTCAAAGCTAATAACATACTTCTATCTATAGAATGTAAGTATTGCTAAACGAGTTAACGGTTTTCAACATACTTTTACCCCAAATCTGCATATTAAACTACAATCTGCTTGCATGTTTCATTACATAACTATATACATTGTACTATAATGTTGGCTTTTTTTAATTAGAAAATACAAGACAATTGCATAAATTGAGACGAAAAGGACTGTAATAACTAACAGACATTACGACCTCGAGTAATATATCTGACTTATTTTTTGTGCGGGAAACAGTTAGACTACTCAGATACATAACTCTTGTTCAATGGAAGCAAGCACTTATTTATCCGAGCCCATTTTATTTAATGTACAATGCTTTTCAGTTATTTCGGACATTACTTCATATGATTTCAAAGGATGGACTCGGTTTCTCTACAAACTAATTTTTTTCTGAAAGCCGTTGTGATTAAATCATACCTTGTATGGACTCTATTCACGTTCAATTACCTATTATGTTAAAAAGAAACTCTGACATTTAAACAGTCTTTCTTTTTGGTCAAAATGTGTTTTATAGTTACCGATGCAGCATTGATTCCTTGGATTTATTAGAATCATGTATAATCCGTAAATACGACATTTCCAAGTAATTACCCAATATGCCAATATGACACACAAAAAAAAAATGAAAGGCTATACTACAGTTCAATTATCTAAAACAATAGTCATATTATAATTTTGTTTTTGGCATTTTTTTTTACTATAACAACCCTATGATATAACATTATGCCAAATCTATAATCAGCCATTTAAATTGAACTCATTGCAGTATTGATAAGTTTCAAAATCATTTATTTTGATGGTACTCTTTGACTTGCAGAAAAACGACCCGCTGTAACATCACCAATTCATGTTATAATATGATGACGTCACAAGGTACATCCAAATATGCTATCACACATCAGCTGTTATTCTTTATGGTGATAGAACATGTAAGTATATTATAATTATATTTAATTAAACTCATCATTGATACCAGGATTGAAATGTTGTATGTGCGCCAGACGCGCGTTTCGTCTACAAAAGACTCATCAGTGACGCTCGAATAAAAAAAAAGTTAAAAAGGCCAAATAAAGTACGATGTTGAAGATATATGTTATCTGGTATATATATTGCCTAGTATTTGAGTAAACGCCAGCAAAGTACGGTAACACGTCACCAATCTGTCAAACTTTCTTGTATTTTATCTGCTAATAACTGTCCAAGTGTTGAAACTGAATATTGAATAGCTTGTTTAAAAAAATCATCATGATTGTAATAGTGATATCAATTTCTTTTTCACAAGTAAAATATTCACCTTTCAAGTTACTGTATAACAAACTCAAGATAGATCCCAGGTTAAATTTGTGTACGCCAGATACTCGTTTCGTTTACAAAAGACTCATCAGTGACGCTCGAATAAAAAAAAAGTTTAAAAGGCCAGATAAAATACGACGTTGAAGAAATTTGTCCGCACTAGATATGCCTATATATAACTGAAAGGAAACCGTGTGAAGAAAGGACAAAATATATACAACAGAAGTTTACCGTTATTCAAATATAAATCTATTAAGAAGGTGCTAAATACCTCCACAAGTTGTGGTATTAACTACCAAGTAGTTACTAGGTAGTTATGTATGTTTAAAGTTCAGCTGAGCACTTGCGCGTAGTGGGTCCTTTTTATAATACTAAAATTGTAATCCTCTGGAGCACATATGACTGCTCTCTTCAGGCCATATGGGTTTCATGCTTTCTGTCATTTTATGGTATTGGATTTTAAATTTTTCAGTGTACCTATTGATGGTAATGCCAGTAACAATTATTCTGCACTTTGTCAATCCAGTAACACATATTGTGCGCTCGGAAATTACGACGTACATTTTTTACCATATAATTGATAGATTGTTGTTTATTACGTAGAAAGCACGATCAGGCGGAATTAATCAATGGTATGGAAGATTAAACTTTGCAGTCCTTATTCAGAGATTCAAAGCAAAGAAAAATGTTCAAGTCTAAAAGTTCGAATAAGTAGTGTTTACCAGATTGAAATGAGTTTCCTCAGACAGTCATGTATCATGTGTTTGTTTGTAGGTAGGTTGTACCGAACAGGTAGAAACATTTATTCATGGAAATAAATTACGTGACATACAAAAAGGATTCTGCCAGAAAATATACAAAGAAGCCGATAACTTGGTGGTAAATGGAAAGGTGAAATCTTCTCATAGAGATTTGTTCCTAGAACAAAGTAAGTTATTATAAATGTTTCCTCAAGCTTTACCATTAATCTTCCAAGAGCTGGACGCTATGATTCTTCGAAAAAAACTCATCATACCAGGATTAAAATTGTGTACGCCAGACGCGCATTTCGTCTACAAATGACTCATTGGTGACGCTCGAATCAAAAAGTTAAGAGGCCAAAAAAATACGAAGTTGACTGAAAGCATTGAAGTTTGATGTCAGTCCTGTTTATTATTTTCCTAACAAAACCGTTTAAGATTTCACAAATTAAAATTAGAATACTAACTGGTACACCTAGAGCTTTTTTATATCCCTGAAGTAATTAATACACTTCCAGTTTTATTTACTTACAAAAATAGTTTTAGAGAAGATGAATACTTATTTTGTGGAACTAAGATGTAACTAAAAGTTGAAAATTATAATGCTGGCCGAAACGCTATAGCAGTCTTACAAACCGACTATTATTGCCATTGAACTGTTGAACGATAATAATTTTTTTTTCAATATTTGGACCCCCTAATTATATATGTATATATATATATATATAAACACAATGAGACTGCATACAAAGAAATCTTGGAAGTAAAACAGTGTATATTAATTTCTAGTAAGATTATTGGCCTTTTATAGAATGACAGATAAAAACAAAGATTCTCTTCATTCAGGTGTATTATGCGGGTCCCTGGGATTCGAAGATTTCTTTAGATCTGATTGGATAAAAATGACCTTGACATGGCCAGACAAAAAAGATGGTTGTATGAAATCAACATGGACACAGCTACTTGAAGTGAAAGGTGAAGATCTAGTTAAATCTCTGCTTACTAATCCTAAAGCACAACATCTTGCTGGAAACGTGGGCAAATCAATTGAACATAAGTTTGAGGAGGAATTAAAAAAACTAAGGTAAGGACTCCAGCACTTTTAGATAATTTCTTAGAAAATCTGTATTGTTTCCAATGTTCTACAGAACACTTGAAAATAAAAAAAAAACATTTTGTTTATGTAACACATTGTTTTTATTCTTACAAAATGCTGAGAACACACATAGAAAATGTTATATTCGTGTATATATGTTGTGTACTAGTTATCATTTTTCAAAAAAAATTGTATTTTAACTGTGTACAAATTGTAATTCGTCCAAAAAGTGCTTGTACAAATTGCATTTTTTTTACCAAATTTGACTAAAACTCACTTATAACTTGTATAACAATTTACAATATGGATTTCGCTAAAAAAAGCATTGATACACACTGTAGCATTTCTATTTGATGACAGTAAACCTCGTTCCCAAAATACAAAAAAAATAGTTCTATATCATTTGTTTGTGCATGTGAGAGAAACATGGAATCGGGTATTGCACAAAATCTTTTGCTTTTTACATTAAACAAGGCATCATTTGAATATTGAACAATTTTGAATTCTGGATAATTGATAAGAAATGTATGATGAATACTAACCCAACTTTAGCGCATGGCTAAGGTTCAAGTTACTTTCACTGATATTTAAGTATGAACTAACTAACCCCCTTAGCCGTGTATGCATGGAATTAGAATTAGTTATAGTGAACACATGATTATGCTTTCATGTATTATTCTATGCTAGTTTCAGAAGTTCTTGGACTTTATCCTGCTGATCAACAATGCTGGCCATGTTTACACTATATCATCAAATGAGTAAACGACCAAAAAAATGTTCAAAAACACCACGGATATATATCTTTGGCAACTTATTAAAACACTTGACCCCAAAATAATGAACAGTCCAAAAGTGTTCAAGAAGAGTTGAATGCAAACATGTTTCCCTCAAGGCAACTAAAATGTATTACTCTTAAAAATATATAAAATGCCATCTTTTCTATCATGTCAAATTATCATATATCCTTTGTACAAGTTATAAGGGAATTTTAGTCAAATTTTGTACAAATTATAATTTAAAACAAAAGCATAAAATCTGAAAAAATTGAAAAATTGAAAAACAGCAGAAATTTTACAGGAGGTTTAAAATTTCACAAGAGTAGGTGAAAACAAAACTTATTTTGGACACAACATAAAAACAGTCTACCATTTGACAAATTTTCCAATGTTAAGGAACTGAACATTTGAAATCATTAAAATCAATGTGGGCATTGCCTATATATGAAACTGTTCTGTGTTATCGTTTAAAAGTACATGGCAAATGACTGAGGGCTGGGCAAAATCATATCAAAGGAAATCAGATGTACTTCGTACCAAAAATGTTTGCCTTACTATTGGTGGTTCCACTTAAAGTGACAAAATACAAGCTTTAATAAGTTAACTATGGAAAGTTCAAGGAGCATGAATGAGGGGAAGAGCCAAATAATCTCCATTGAAATGAGATGTGCCAATCCTAATATAACTCCTAATAAACATTGACTCTCCAGTAGTGGTTCCCCTGAAACTGACCTTATCACATAGTTTAACAATTGTTGACCCCTTCGATGTCACCGTTGCTGGAAACAGAATGCTTATTGTTGCCTCCCAAACTGTGTCAATGCCAGACAATATTGTCAAAATGAAAAGGAATTTATTTTTGTAAATGAAACAAATAAATGTGAAAAAAAATCTTTAAATGTATGTTATGAAAAACTGGTGTTATCACAAGTCATACTTCAAACTTGTAAAGTAATTGCTCAGGAACATCAAATTTGAAAATTGTCAAAATCAACATGGAAGTTTTTTCAAAGAACTATAGGAACCAAAAATTTGTAAAAGTAAACACAAAAGCATATTCTGACCCATATCTGAAGTATAAGGAGAAGTGTGTAAGCATTAAGCATAGGCATTCAAACAACAACATTATGATCACATCGAGGTCAAAATAAGTCTTGACTAGTTGATAATAAATTTAAAGGAGACAACAATTATCTGACAGTAGTAATAAATAGACAAAACACAACAATAACCATTAAACTAAACACGGAATGATTTTTTTTCTTCAGAATGACGCAGTTGTACCACATACTGCCACATAACAATGTAGCTCTTGGATAACTTACATAATAGTTGAAAAAAAGTATGTGTTTCTTAATTACAAGAACTGCAAACTATTGTAGATATGTACCATATACTTTTTTTAATAAAAAATGCTACTTAATATTCAACTTTGTATAATTTCAGTGGTTCTAAAACAATGAGGAAACTTCTGAGGGAAAAGGCCATGAAAGGTAATAGATTTACGTATCTTTGCACACAAACAATTATTTGATCATCAACCAGTATACTATTGTGATAGCCTTTTAATCCTTGGCAGGCTGTTTTTTTTTGCCCAAGTATGAAAACATTATGAATGCTTTTCACAAGTTAAAATCCTGTCAAAAATAATATTGAATACTTATCCTAATCCAACCTGCTTTGTGGTACAAAACGGAAGGGAAGTTGAACATATATCATATATATAGTAATGAAACTGAAAATAATGTTCCACTTATTTGTATGATGCACCGTTGCTATAACTTCAAATGCCATTGTTTACCTTTTCAGATGACTGCATGGCCCATGCCTCAGGATTGGCTTTTGGAACATTCGGCAGTTATGTACGCTATTTAGTACTACAGTTATAAATCAATAAAACCACTATCGATTACATTAAAGATGAAAATAATGCTATTTTTTCCGTCAGACAATTCGTTTTCATTGTAATAATTTAAAACTGATTACATATCATGCAATTTCATACTGAGGTTTAGATCAAGCATCTTGTTTGTAAATGTATATGTGATATAATATGTAGAAGATATTAAATCAAATCTGTCGGAAGACAAACAAAAACAAAAGTTAAAATAAGAAAGCCCATTCACAAACAAAAATAAAGGCATCGTCGGTGCTGTGATCGAGGCAATCTGACTTCAACATCCACAATGTAAACTGTTACATAAAATGATTTCTTTACAAGTTTTATTTGAAACAACAGCTGTTGGAAGACCTCTTTTCAAGTACACTTACGTTAAAATGTATCTTACTCAATAGATCTTGTTCCAGCAGAATTTTGTTATTTAAATGAAGCATTATCAACCGTTAAGTACACTTTTGTAGATAGTAGTCTCATCTACATTCATACCACATACATATTACTTGTTCTTAGGTTCCACCTCCATTGGGCAAATTTTACCCTTAAGCTATACTTTTGGTCATAAAGCTCCTCGTGCTGAAGGTATTTTTATATTCTTGTAGCTTTTAAATGTTTTGTTTGAGCGTTACTGGTGAATGTAAATCAAGAAAAGCACTTTGGACGCACCAAATTTATAAAGCGTTATTTTCATTTCGATTTAGAAATACCAAATGTTCTTTTTTTCGATAACTGAGATTGAATGATTACCCTTAAATGATATTTTTAGCTAGTCGAACATTTTTCAAACTTGTTACATGATATATACGCCTGTAAAACATTTCAAGACAACAATCAAATCTTGGAATAAATTATTTTGGCCCAAAAGGTATTTTTGTGTTTTAACAAAAGGATTGTAACATCAGTAGTATGAACCTTAAAGAAGACGATACCATGTCTGAATGCAATTGATTGAGGAAACATGCATACTAGAGCATAACTAATCATTCCTTTTCATTGAAGCCAAAGAAACTTTGACGACAATTTTCCTTGTACATTGAGTGTTGTAATATTTCATTAAACAGGGAGTGGCTGTAAAATTTGACCAAATATAAGATCATTCCTTGCAAAGAAGCCAAGAAAAGTTTGACGAAAATTTTCATTGGACAATGAGTGTATACGGGTTTGTTTTGTTCACGCATCGTTGTCAATATAATGAAATTTGATGCGACTGTCATACAAGTGAGAGGTTTAGCTAGCTATAAAACCAGGTTCAATCCACCATTTTCTACATAAGAAAATGCCTGTACCAAGTCAGGAATATGACAGTTGTTATCCATTCGTTTGATGTGTTGAGCTTTTGATTTTTTCCATTTGATTAGGGACTTTCCTTTTTGAGTTTTCCTCGGAGTTCAGTACTATTTTTGTGATTTTACTTTTTTCAAACCATCGGCTAATAGGAAGTGGCTGCACGATCGATGTAAAAACTGATCACGCTTCTTCGTAACATTATCAGGCTGCAGATCATACCCTTTCATAGAAGCAAAGAAAAATTTGCAACAGTTGTTCACACAAGGTCTCACAGACGGAGTTGAGCGGTTACTAGACATGATTTCGTCGTTGACGACGCTGGTAAAGTTCACCACTTCCAGCTCTCAAAATTCTACGAAAACAGTGTATGTCTTTTGAGGTACTTCTGGCAATCAAAGTGATTAAATCACTAATAAAAAGATTGAAAGAGTTGTGTGCATAACTTTAAATCCTATTCATTCTTCCATTGACAGATGTATGATGGTAGACATAATAAAACTTGCATTACCGCATTAAGTTTAAAAGAAATAATAATTTGTTCATCAGTCGATAAAATGAGCTTAATGTGTGCAAATGTCAGAGGGTTACTTGATTTTAAGTTGACAGCTTTTAAAACTGAAGAAATTACCAAACAAAGATTCATCTAAGAAAGATTAATCATTGTAGTTTCACATATATAACATTTGACCACTAGATAAAAATCTGTGTCTCCATAAACTTACTTGTAAATGGTTGCTTTTTTTGGTATTTTTATGTTCAAAGGTATATTTTTTTAACTCCTCTTAGCCTTTGGATTGTTTGTTTTTTTTTATAAAAAGAGTAATGAAGGGTTGCAGATTGAAGGCCTTTTTCGTGTCCATAATCTTACTGTAAAGTCTTTATACTGTTTCCCAAAGTTGAATAATTTCTCAATATCGATGCAATGTTTTCTGTTGTTTTAACTTTTTATTTCTATGCCCCCGCGACAAAAAGGTCGAGGTGCATATATTAACTTACCCCTGTCCGTCCGTTCGTCAGTCCGGCTATCTCCTCCAACAGTTTTTGAGCTACAGTTTTGATATTTTGTAGATTGTTTTACACATAATGGAATTGTGTATGTCGACAGGATTTTGATTTTTTTTTTAAATATTCCCCAAATGCTATGTATTTTGACTTTTTTTGGTACTAGCTGCATAAGGAGATCATGGTTTGTCCGATTATCTCATCCTTCAGTTTTTGAGCTACAGCTTTAATATTTTGTAGGTTGTTTTTACACATAATGAAAGTGTGCATGTCCGCAAGATTTTTATTCTTTTTTTAAATATTCTCAAAATGACAGGTATTTGGACTTAGTCATTTATTATTACTAGCTTAACAAAGAGATCATGGTTTGTCCGGCTATCTCCTCCTACAGTTTTTGAGCTACAAATTTAATATTTTGTAGGTTGCTTTTACACATAATAGAGGTGTACATGTCCACAGAATTTTGATTTTTTTTCAAATATTCTCAAAATGCCAGGCATTTCGTTGTTGTATTAAAAGTCAGAAAGGAGAGGGGGGTGTAGATATTTACAAAACCGGTAGTCGGACTTCATTTCCTACTCACTTGCTATATAATTGAAAACATGGTTGGTACTACTACAGTTGTGTGTCCCTTATGCAATAAAAGAATTCCCCATATGCAGGCTCTATAATTCATCGATTTATTCTATTTTATCTACGTAAGACATTCGTTTTTTATGAAACAAAGCATGACCAACTGTTTCAATGTCTTTTAGTTTGGAATGGGGAATACTTGTGTAAAGTGTAGAAAAGTCAGATGTTTTAATAATATTGCAAGATGAAAGCGTCTTAAATTGTATGTACTCTAAAAGATATTTAGATTTTTTCAGTATCCACATCTGATTCACACCACCTCTAGAATAGCTAGTTTCACAATAACTTTGAAGCCCAGCTTTGGTTGCTGATAGCATTGATGTTAATAATTTAGAAAGAGGTTTCGTGGTGCACTTGGAAGACCCAGCAATATAACGTTGTTTGTAAGGACACTTATGTAGAAAGTAAAACAACAAAAATACCGAACTCCAAGGAAAATTCAAAAAGGAAAGTCCCTTATCAAATGGCAAAATCAAAAGTTCAAACACATCAAACGAATGGAAAACAACTGTCATATTCATATAGTTTAGGTGTCCAATACAGTGAAGGAAGATCCAGTTCTTCATCTTTGGTTGAAATTCCAAAGGAACATAGAACAGACCTATGATTATCCAGGATTTCCTCCTTGGTAAGTGTCGTGGGGGTATATGTTGAGTGTCCAAGTGAATACCTGATTCATTTATCAAGCAGTTTATGTAATGAGATGTACTCACAAAAACGATGTTGTTTGGGACTTTATCTGCGGAGATAACAACATATTTGCCATGGAGGTAGGACAGGTGTTTTGCAACATTTAAGATTTTTTAGTATTGACAAATATTTAATCAATACCGGGAAGTTGAACTTGGTGACTACTAAAACTGGAAAGTTGAACTCTGACGACTGAAAGTTGCCTACCCTGCCTTCAGTGTTAAATTTATAATTTCTTATGGTCAGGCGGGGGCATCATATGTGTCTTCAGACAGCGCAACAATTTCAAGTTGTACTTCAACATCACTGTTTGTAAAATCTGAAGTATGTGGAACTATACTCATGCATATGGCAGAGCTGAGGGGGGCATCGTCCATATCTAGTTTAAATGTGCGTTCACTCTTCATTCAAGGAAAACTACATTTCCTCTATTCAATTAAAAAAGTGCAAATAACTCATACCGTTTACATTACCAGGCAATCTAAAGGGGAATAAACAAATAAATTGTATTGCAGAAAATGCAAGGTTAGAGTTGTGCAATTGTGTTTAATGTGTCAAGCAAATTACTGATAATTGTCATATAAATTTACCTAAATAATTGACTAATATCAGAAGTCCTGGAGAAGACATTATTAAGTTGTAAAACTTGTGTCTCATCCATTTGTTTAGTTTCTTAACAATAAAATATGTTTAAACTAATTAATATCAGAAGATTATGGCAATGATTTTACAAGTAAAATAGATCCTATAAACATGCATGTACATCTTTTACAGAGATTTTATTTATCTTATTAATCCTTAATCATACATTTTTTACTCATAACTTAAAAAATAGTTAAATGAGGTCTGAATGGCTTGCAAAGATACAAATATTAAAGGAAAATAATTAAATCTATCATGTCTCTATCATATATATATATATATATATTAATCATCTAACATATTAGTGTGGTCAAGAATAGAAATGTATGTTATATGTAAATAATTAGGGCCCCGCCAACTATATATTCGGCGCCCACAGTAATCACTCTTGTCTGTCTATCCGTCAGCACTTCTATATGTTACGATATGTCAAGATAAACAAAATTGTTATAAACTTACTGTTAGTTAAAAAATCACAAATTTTGAGAAACATCGTTTGATGTGTTTCCCTCGGTTTTGGTTTGTGACCCGGATTTGTATTCGCTTAATCGATTTATAACTATTGCAAAACAAATTTCTTGGTAGAGGGGTCTAAATACAGCATATACACCATTTTCCACAAGACCAAATGAGTGAAAAAGTATATTTTAACAAAACGCATTTGACTAGCATGTCGAACAACTGATGTTCTTAAACCCTGCTGACTGCCATTGGCGATTGCCAAATAAACGGATCACAAGATGTAACAAAATAGATCTTATTATTAATTTATTACCAAACATATATATATATATATATGTTATAAGTACGCCTAAACAAGTGACAACTCTACGACAGATCCATCCATTGGATCACCAGTGAAGGTGATACGCGGGCTGAAAACACATATTATATTCATTACTCTAAATATCAGCACAACAATGTTAAATCTGGCGTGGGAAGAACAAAAATTTGCTGCCGCAAATTTGAAGATTTAACATTATTGTGGTGATATTTAGAGTAATTATATATTTTATATATATATAGTTATATACATATATAAATATTAACTGTCCAATTTACTGATGAGGTCAAAAACTGTGTATCAAGTTGTGCTATAACTTGTGTGATAAAAAGTTCGTTCTTATACAAGAAAAGTATTTGGAAGTTAAATTCATTGTGTATAGATAAAGTGGCTAACACAGCTATATCCTGTTTGGTGAGGTCACAAAACGCCTTAGACAAGATTTGGAACTATGGAGGGGATCCACTTTGAGATCAATACACAGATTGAACCAAATATTGTAATTGATTAATTGATTTTTGGTGTTTAATGCCACTTTCAGAACTATTGGCTATTTCGTGGCAGTCATTTAATTGGTGGAGGAAGCCGTAATGCCTGGAGAGAACCACTGACCTTCATCAGGATAACGGGAATCCTAGTCAATTAAAATTTGAATTGAAGGTTCCTGCCACTTTCAGGGTTTGAACTCAAACTTCAGTATTGACAGGCTTGTGATACAGAAGATGAACTACTTCGATCACTCACCCATCAAAGTCCCTCCAAATTTTATGCAATTACTTCAATAAGCATACCATACTAATAAAGTACTCTAATAATCCTTATCAACTGCTTACTTTTGAAATCTCACCCATTCACAATAACTCATAAATGATATTTTATAAATTTTGATTTAGGATGGAATTATATTCCAGTGTGTATTCAAACATTAAAATCTATTCCTTAATTTAAGACCAAATTACATGTAAAAACAATGGTTGCAGGTGATTAAAACGGTGATCTATGGTTTCATGACATGCCTTAAATTCAGAATTCTGCATCATCTTAAGATTGATGTGACAACATAGACCAAGCTCGGCTGGATAAACAATCAAAAGCAACAAGACAGATATATAGACCAACACAAAATGATGCTATTATAGTATGTGATAAACAATCATGTTGTCAACAAAATCCTGATGATGTATTCCGTAAAAAGAAATTGGTTGGTAGTCATGGCAACCATTCAACAACTGAATATAAATAATTAAAAAAGTCCATACCAACCACCAAGACCTCTGAGAAATTAGATTTGCAAACAAATTTAAAACAACAGTGAACAAAACATGGTCAAGATAGGCATACTTGGTACAGCCACAAAATGGGGTTGGGTTAAACAAGTATAACGTATTAGAAATAAACTGTTTGCTAACTAGAGAAAAACAAAGGATATAGAGCATATTTTACCATATTAAACATCAATACTTATATAATTGACTCAATATGCTTTACACTGGAAACAGAATATTGACCTTCATTTTTCTTATGGAATATATGTAAGTGTCGACATTGCTCATCACACTCTGACTATGAGGAGGAAAGTGGATTCTCTTTCAGTGGAATATTGGGTGCTGTAGAAGGGAAACTTTAACTAGACTAAGTGATGCCCCCGCACTTCACTCTGAAGTAACTGTATTATAACAAAGTCATTGAAGGACTTTCTTTGAGATATTATTGTGTCTGGGAGACACAAATGATGCCACAGCAGATGCAAAGTGTTATTTTATAATACACAAAGATGAGCATAGGAGCACATAGGTCTATAGTTCACTGTAGGAGGAGTTATCCGGAAACGTTATGCACCTCTTATGCAAATATATACCTGGTACTCCAAAAATGACAAAGTTCAATTATCTCTCAAAAGAGCAAAATATTAATAAAAATCAAAACCCTGACTACATGCACACCTTCAATATATGTACAAACAGCCAGCATAGTAAAAACTTCCTAGCATTCAAACTGTAGGAGGAGTTATCTGGAATACCTATGCACCTTTTATGCAAGTATATACCTGGTACTCCAAAAATGACAAAGTTCAATTATCTCTCAAAAGAGCAAAATATCAATAAAAATCAAAACCTTGACCACATGCACACCTTTAATATATGTGTAACACTCCCAAACGTGTCCATCCCCCCAAACGTGTCCGATTCCCCCAAACGTGTCCATTCTCCCCAAACGTGTCCGTTATATTCAATATTGCCCAAACGTGTCCGATTTCATAACCCCCAAACGTGTCCGATAATTGTTTTTCGCCAAAACGTGTCCACTGTTAAACGCCAGAACGTCTCACGTCTTTTAGTGCTAATACATATACAAATGACATCAATAACGTTTACGGCAATTCTATGATGAGGGACACAGTTGATGAAGTGGTCATTTATTATCATTAGTTTGTTCAATGCCGGTTGTAAATGATTATCATAATTGCAAATTTAATCTGTAACGTATGAATTAACTTTTGACTGAAATGCAAGTTGCAAGTATTGCATTCTGATTTAGAGCGAACATACAAATAATTTTAGTACAGTTGAATTAATCGTTTACCAAGTGAATTATTTTGTACTAATAAATTCTGATGATGCCTTTTATATTAAACCGAATATTGCACGGCGGGCTTTCCGCAGAATTGACTTCCCTTTTTTCAACAGTTCTGGTATTTTAAAAACTCTTCAAATCAAAAGTTTACTGTTTATCAGGTTTTTTAATAAATTTTAGGTTTCGAGCATCACTAAAGACACACAAACAAGAGACATAACGTCCAGTGCCAAATATTTCATGCATTATTTGAACGACATCATGTTAACAATAAATACTGTACATAGGTTTTATTATCATACCGGGAATTTAGGATTAGGCCTAAATTTTTACGGTTATTCGGGATTAATTAACACTAGTTGGGGTTTTAATCTAAAAATTTAAGAGCCAGTAACAACCAATTTTTTTATGACTTCAGTAAGAAACTACTTCAATCTCCGTTATGTAAGAGGCCGTTTTAAATAAAAGTTGCGGAAATTGAAAAAAAAAGAATGTTGCCTTCCAAAATACAACTGATGGCACCATGAAAGAGTGAATTGCTACACAGGTTTTAATGCGCAGAGAGAGTGACATTCTCCCTACACGAGATATTTGATTTAATATCTACAAATTAACTGAGCATGGCTGCTTACATTTACATCCAACATAGCCGAACATATTGGCACTTTTACCCAGATTATACTGCCGGTTAAAAAAAGACCTAAAGTAATTTATTTCTATTTTTTTAATGAAATAGTAAAATGAGTATACGTTAATGAAAAAGCAATAACCAAATTTATAATATGGACACGAATGATAGTTCCAGTAAAGGAAAAAAATTAAGCTTGATATGGACACGTTTGGGGGATTGGACACGTTTGGGGAATTGGGCACGTTTGGGTGTTTATACAAATGACACGCTTTGGCGCCCTTTTACATTAGGACATGTTTTGCAGTTCAGTGACGTCATGTGGACACGTTTGGGGGAATCGGACACGTTTGGGGGGAAGGACACGTTTCTGAGTGTTACATATGTACAAGCAGCCAGCAAAGTGAAAACTTCCTAACATTCAAACTGTAGGAGGAGTTGTAGATATGTACCTATAATAGGTCGGACGGACAGAAAGATGGATGGACAAACAGAAGGATGGAGGGACGGACAGGGGTAAAACAATATGCATAACAACTTTTAGTTGCAGGGGCATAAAAACATGACAGGATATTTGACAGATTTGTATTAAATTGCTTATCTTTTTAAAATAATCATGAAATTTTTTTTCAAGTTTATGACAAATGCTTACTTTGTTCTTTATTTGATCTTTTATTTCGATTGGAGTGTCATTGATGAGTCTTTTTTTTCGACGAAACAGGTGTCTGGCATACAAAATCATAAGCCTGGTATATGTTTCTTTAATGAGTTTTTTTTACAGGGGACCAAGTCTTCATATTTTCTCCACTTTTCAGAGCATTGTCAGACTAGTTTTGTCTGCCGTATATAACTTTGATACAAAATGAGTGAACAAACGTTTACATATCTTTTAATCATGGATTTATCCATTAAATAAATGATCATGGTTATTAACATGTTGAAATGAAATGATAAAAAAGACAATGAAATGTTATTGCTCCTGCTGTTCACAGATTCTCATGATCAGGTGTCCATTTTTGGAATGAATATTCACTTTTCCTTCACGTTTAGACCAGCTAAACTTATTATTTTCAACAAAATAAATAATTCTGTTGAAATACAATTGTTTGTACGTTTCACAATAATGTTCTGAAGTCTGGTTTCATATGTCACCATCCTGTCGTTCTCTTACTGCATCCTGAAAGACACAGATAGATTGAATAGTTTCGAATACATATAGATCATCATAAGACAATAATTACAGAATCTATACAGCAATATACAACACAAGAAAGTTAACCTGCTGAATTATTCATAGTAGAAAAAAGACACTGTCAAATATACCACTTAGATGTGATTTGGATAACAAAAATGATAAGAATACATGTCAAGGGCAAACCACAAATTTAAATGTTCAACAAAGTACATTTTTTTTATAGAAGAAAAATTGAGAATGGAAATGGGGAATATGTCAAAGAGACAACAACCCGACCAATGAGCAGACAACAGCCGAAGGCCACCAATGGGTCTTCAACGCAGCGAGAAAATCACGAACCCGGAAGTGGTCCTCATCTGGCCCCTAAATAAAATTGTGTACTACTTCAGTGAAAATGGACGTCATACTAAACTACAAAACATATAAATGAACTAAAATTAAAAAAACATACAAGACTAACAAAGGCCAGAGGCTCCTGACTTGGGACAGGCGCAAAAATGCGGCGGGGTCAAACATGTTTTGAAAGATCTCAACCCTCCCCCTATACCTCTAGCCAATGTAGAATAAAAAAACACATAGCAATACGCACAGTAAAACTCAGTTCAAAAGAAGTCCGAGTCCGAAGTCAGAATAGGTAACAAAAGAAACTATGTACATGTATACATGGTATATGCAAACTTAGGCAAAACCAAGAATTTTAATATCCAAAATATTTTTTCTTTATCTCAATCCATGAAAATGAATGAATCCACAGTAGCCAAAAAAGACTCTGCTGACAGTTGTTTCTGATTGGTTGTAACTGTTTCCATATACAATAATCAAACAGATGAGAAAAAGTATTTAACTTCCAACATTTACCTTAAATCTTTCTTCCAGTAGTGAAAACTCACTAATGAGATCAGTAATGGCATTTGTCAATGCATCCTGAGGACTGTAGTCTGAGGTTGTCTGTACTCTTAACACAAATTTGTGTTCCAATGGATGAGGGTTTTTATATCCAGCAAACAACACCTGAGGGTCTTTCCATAACTGTCTGTAATAAAAGGAACATTTACTTTTTTTAAATGTTTAATAGGTTTTATTCATACTTAGTTGATAACAAATAGAGCTGTCTGCATCATAACCATTGCTATTCAAACCGTTCTAAGGAATAATGTAAATAAATTTTAAAGGTCTATCATTTTCCATCAAAGAGGTTTACTTTAAAAAATGTGAGAAAAAGTTAAATGTTGATTGTTTTTACAAATACACAGGCTTCATTAAAAGCTTATAGAATTACAAGTCCAAATGTAGTCTTTGTTATCATTTCTTTACATAAAAGTGTAAAAGCCATGTATATATAATCTGTATTGATACATTATCTACACACCCTTTGACACCACAGAAATTCAGGAACTTTTTTTTGTCACTGCAAAGTTTTTACGCAAGTCACTAATTTTAAAGTTGTTTTAAACGACCCAAATAAAAACCAGAGACTGCAAAGAGCATGTATCACTCACCTGTTTCTATACACAATGTAAAAAAAATTGGCACATTCAACAGAAAAAAGGCTAATTTGTCAGCTATATGACCATTACTTACAGAATCTAAAAATATAAACTGTTGAAGAAAAAGACAATCTGATGGACAACATTGCTAATTAATTCAAATTTGCTGGACCATGAACTAGTGGGCAGGGCCTTGAAATGGTCACCAACCTGAGATTTACAGACAGTAATGTTACTTTATAGAAAATATTGTTGTCTATTGTAAGTAATTCCTATCAAACTAACTTAAGAAGAAAACTTACCATTGAAAATTTCTAATTAATTTAAAGTTGCTGGACCATGACCTAGGGGGCAGGGCCTCGAAATAGTCGTCAAACTGATATGAACTGATAGTAAAGCAACTTTATAGAAAATATCATTGATATATCACAAGTGGTTCCTATCAAACTAACTTAAGCAGAGAACTTAACATTGAAAACTGCTTATTAATTCAAAGTCACTGGACTATGACCTTGGGACAGGGCCTCAAAATAGTTGTCCAACTGATATGTACTGATAGTAATGCAACTTCATACAAAATATCATAGATCTATCACAAGTAGTTCTTATCAAACTAACAATGACTAAATTAAGCAGAAAACTTAACAATTGTTGATGCCGATGTCGCCGGACAAGCAATACCTCTGTCTCGTCTTCAGCGCCTTTCGTCACAGGCCAGACAAAAATTGTTTTCGGTCCTTTTTGCTCCTAACTACCACCTTTTTATGCTTGTTCAGCTACTTAAATGGAATAATAATTTTTCAATATCAATACATCATACTTCATTGTACTTGATAGGTTGTAATTTAGTGATGCTGAAAATTGTTTCACATGGAATTCAATTTGAACCTTTGTGGAACAATTGCTATCATGTATGTTGCTCATTAGCAGATTAGCATGAAATGAGGAATTTTTGTAAAAGGTCTTTCAATTATCATTCCAATGAATTTTAAAGACAAATGGAAGTTTCAGAGTAAATTATATTAAAAATGAACAAATTAGCTTTGCAATTACATAGATGATGAAAATGTGCCTTACAACCAATTTCAAGTGATGACAATAGCTTGCTATAGTCCTTTAAGCCTAAAGAACTGAAAATGAATGTATTAGTTATTAATTTGTTTTAAAACTTACGAACAAATCATGTTTCCTAGTGTGTGATCTTCTTTATTAACAGTAAATATTGCAGCATTTGGCACTTTAGTGTCTTTTTCAATGGTGATTCTGAAATAAAATAAATTAAAGTACATGTAAAAACAACTGAATCTATCTAACACATCATACTAGTTAAAAAAACTTTACAAATCAATCAAATTCCTCAATGGTTCTGCAGAACCCTCTGTCTCACCTACTACAATGTATTACTGCATTTAGTGTAAAAGAGTCCTGTTGACTGCCAAAACTAGGTCAATTGATCAGTAAAATACTCAGAAATTAATACAATTTTTGTTTTCCTATGTTATTTCTTGATCTTGAAGATGCTTCTAAGTCTCATAAAATTCCATGAAGGTTTAACAAAGTTATTGGTATATAATAATGTCTAAATTTCATCTCATGGATACTTTTAGAACTTATTTTAATTGTGAATTAAAACAATTACTGTTTTTAATATGTTACAATACTCTGTAAGAACCACTTCCCCTCATTAACATTTTTGTCTAGAAAAACCAAAAATGCTACCAAAATCAAACTGGTATCAAGCGCATTGTTCTCAGTTTCAATCAGCTCCAAAGATTCTGAAAGGATCTCACAAACGTTTTCATTTGTCCATTTTAAAGAAACTCTTTTTAAGAAATTTGTAACCAAGAATTTTTATTTTATCAAACGGAAGTACATGTACACAGTGTGACCTCTATCTCCACATGTTCAATTGTTCTGTGACCAAGATCAAGGAGTTATGCATCCCATAAGTGCTTTATATCACAAACAGATCTGAGTTTGGTCCAAACACTTGTATGTGTATAAAAAATTATATTCAAAAGTCGGAGCACCACCAACTGACTTACTGTACTACCAATTTTGAGAACCGAAAAAAATTATTTCTCAGGATTATAGCAATAAATTTGTTCCATTTGGCATGTTTGGAATTTATTGAATGTCTTTGAAGAAAAAAACTGTTTTTCAAGAGAAGTCAGGACGTCTATAATGCAAAGAATAAAGGGGAGTTTTGACTATAAATAATGAAAAAGACAATTCAGACCGTCTATGAAGAGATGCCTTTATAGACAATTCAAGATCACAACTTTCAGACTTGGGACAATTTGTATTGACATGCATCATGTTCATACCTTTTGAGTAAGTCAGTCTTTATGATTAATTTCTCAATGACATGTATAAATGAGCTTGTCGTGTACACATGCAATTGGACCATTTATTAGAATACTTAAATTTATATTTATTGTTAATTTAAATTTAATGGGATTTTAAGAAACAAATATAATAAATTACAAATTCAACAAGAAATGATTGTAACAGGATGCTGTTACGAAGTCTCCCAAACGAAGCTCCCATAATTCGTAATTCCCAGGGTCGCCTGACATTGGGCAACGTCCAGTGAAAATTGGTTTGGTCCAGTAAAGTTATATGCATTAGTGATGCCTGGGGACTAACCTTGTATATCATTCAAATCATCTTGGCATGACAAACCAGAATATATATGGTTTAGGGGTGGGGATCTCAACCATTTACAAGATACTAGAATATTGGGGGTGGGGAGGAACCCCTGGGGACTGACCCTATACGTCATTCAAATGTTCATTACATGACGAACAGGAATATATATGGTTTAGGGGTGGCGATTTCAACCATTTACAAGATATTAGAACATTGGGGGTGGGGGGAACCCCTGGGGACTGACCGTATACGTCATTCAAATGTTCGGGACATGACAAATAGGAATATATATGGTTTAGGGGTGGGGATCTCAACCATTTACAAGATATTAGAACTTTCTCAAATGGCAGGGGGTCGGGATGACCCCTGGGGACTAACCCTGTCTATCATTCAAACCATCTTCGCATGACAAACCAGAATATATATGGTTTAGGGGTGGGGATCTTGACCACTTAGAAGATATTAGAACTTTCTTAAATGGCAGGGGGTGGGGGTGACCCCTGGGGACTTACCCTGTATTTCATTTGATGTGCTTTATCATGACAAACCAGAATATATATGGTTTAGGGGTGGGGATCTCGACCATTTACAAGATATTAGAACTTTCTCAAATGGCAAGGGGTGGGGGTGACTGCTGGGGACTAACCCTGTATAACATTTGATGTGCTTTATCATGACAAACCAGAATATATATGGTTTAGGGGTGGGGATCTCGACCATTTACAAGATATTAGAACTTTTTCAAATGGCAGGGGGTCGGGATGACCCCTGGGGACTTACCCTGTATATCATTCAAACCATCTCAGCATGACAAACCAGAATATATATGGTTTAGGGGTGGGGATCTTGACCACTTAGAAGATATTAGAACTTTCTTAAATGGCAGGGGGTCAGGATGACCCCTGGGGACTAACCCTGTATATCATTTGATGTGCTTTATCATGACAAACCAGAATATATATGGTTTAGGGGTGGGGATCTCGACCATTTACAAGATATTAGAACTTTCTTAAATGGCAGGGGGTCAGGATGACCCCTGGGGACTAACCCTGTATATCATTCAAACCATCTTAGCATGACAAACCAGAATATATATGGTTTAGGGGTGGGGATCTTGACCACTTTCAAGATATTAGAACTTTCTTAAATGGCAGGGGGTGGGGGTAACCCCTGGGGACTAACCCTGTATTTCATTTGATGTGCTTTATCATGACAAACCAGAATATATATGGTTTAGGGGTGGGGATCTCGACCATTTACAAGATATTAGAACTTTCTCAAATGGCAGGGGATCGGGATGACCCCTGGGGACTAACCCTGTATATCATTCAAACCATCTTAGCATGACAAACCAGAATATATATGGTTTAGGGGTGGGGATCTTGACAACTTAGAAGATATTAGAACTTTCTTAAATGGCAGGGGGTGGGGGTGACCCCTGGGGACTAACCCTGTATTACATTTGATGTGCTTTATCATGACAAACCAGAATATATATGGTTTAGGGGTGGGGATCTCGACCATTTACAAGATATTTGAACTTTCTCAAATGACAGGGGGTGGGGATGACCCCTGGGGACTAACCCTGTATATCATTCAAACCATCTTAGCATGACAAACCAGAATATATATGGTTTAGGGGTGGGGATCTTGACCACTTACAAGGTATTAGAACTTTCTTAAATGGCAGGGGGTGGGGGTGACCCCTGGGGACTAACCCTGTATTTCATTTAATGGGCTTTATCATTTAGAACATTTTCAATTAAAAAGTTTGTGTTTATCACAAACGGTTTTCAATTTATAATCATTTGAAAATTTTAAAAAATAAAATCCCATAGGGTTCTATAGTAAAACCCTCTTTTCTTTTTGCCCCTCAAAGTACCCCTTTATAAACCCCATTGCAAAAACAAAACCCTGATTGCACCACTAGACATGTTAGTCTAACATATTGTGAAACCCTAAGTTAATCCGACAAGCGGTTTTGGAGAACGGGTGCGGACAAGTTCAAATTTAAAAGCGGCGGAAGAAGAAGAAGAAGAAGAAGAAGAAGAAGAAGAAGAAGAAGAAGAATAATAATAATAATAAGAACTGAGCAAAAACAATAAGTCTTCCCAAACTTCGTTTGGGAGACTTAATTAAAGGATAAATTAAGATTGTTTAAAGAATTGTATAGACAGTCCGAGTTGATATAATATGAGGCAGGCGTTACCTGTGAAAGGGGACGAAGTCCGAATCAATTACTTTTTTTTCAATTCTAATGTTCAAAAAGAAACGAAAATACCGTTACGTTACCAATGTTGGTTCTGTTGTTAAGGATTTTAGATGTGACGTCATTTTAGTCATTACGTTGTTTTCAATGTAAACAAAGAGACGCTATCATCAGGTTACGTTTTTTTTTTCATATCACGGAATAATTAAAATGAAACTAATTTTGTTATTGTGCTAATTCCTATATATTTGACTGAAAAATATATTATACCCAAAGTCTCACGGCAAATGAGACCGGAAGAAAGAAAGAGATTTCTACGTAAATGCGGGAAAATAAAAAAGTTAGAAAAAAAAGTTAATGATTTTGAGTTCATTTGTACATTGGAAATTTTTTTTTTTTTTTTTTCTACTGTTATAGGGGACTTTGTCTGCTTATAAGTCAGTCTAAGTTGTCTTCCGGGCAGAGTTGACCTGCATTCTTATATCATAGACTACAGATATTTCTCTAGTTTGTCTGTTTCCACCGATGAGAAGAGTGGTTCTCTCAAGAGTACTGCGGCTACCATAACAGACTTCCCAATGTCCTAACTCTCCCTTGGTGTTGCATTGAGGAGTGCCAGTGGTTTTTGGTTGTATATAGGATAGTGACATATCTCCATTAAATTAAAATTTGCACTGTAGTGTACCTTCGCAGCTCGCGACTCGAGGGGTGCTTCGCATAAACGGAGGAATTTCCGTACATACATACAATTAACTTATTTAGATGGACGTTTGGGTAAAGAGGGCAGAGGCAACATTTTTCTTAAAACTATTACTTCTTTTCGCCGTCAAACAGAAGGAAGGACTCGAAAGTTGGAGGAGCATTCATTTTCGTGCTGTTTTTCGACGAACCGGAAATCAAATGATTTGTTAAAAATGTACCGCACTTACTTAAATGTCACATTTCGATTAGTCTAAATGATAAGATAATATCTGATAACCAACGAAATGGAAGGGACACCTGTTTTTTGACAATTAAGGTAAAATATCCATTATTGGTTTCTCTCTTACACAAAACACCAAAGTCGATTGTTTATTTGCAATTGCTAGACTATTTTGATTATTGAAATTAAATATTTAGAGGAAACTTAAATTATATGCAATTCTGGACAGAGGTGAAAAATCTAGGTCATGTTAAAACTAGTTAAAAAAGTGGGAAATATGAATATTGCCTTTCGAATAAGGTGGTATTACAAAAAATGTGGCGGCTATATTGAATACCAATTGACCGTTTAGTTTTATTATTGACATTATCAAAATTAAACATACCAAACTAGCAAGTTAAATCACTTGTATTTTTATGGAAAACTTATTGACGGTAACCGTGGCTCAGTTTTCTCAGAGACATATATATTCATATATGTGTATACATGTCTCTGGTTTTCTTTTCGTTTTTGATCACGAAAAGCTATCAAGTTCCGCATATTTTCGAAATTCAATATTAAAAAAACACTGCGTGCCCCATCAGCATAATTATTACAAGATAAGAACTTCACAACTGCATTGTCATGTACCAATTTTGTTATCGTATTCAACAGAATCAGAGATATATTTCTGGGACTATTATACAATGTTAGTATAATAGTCCCAGGATATATATATTTGATTGTCTTGTCTCTGATGATTTCTGATGATCTCTGATGGATTGATATGAGATAAATTTTGAAAAAGATTATTAATAATAATATTTGTAATAACAACTGAAATTAATTAAGAAAACAGGAGAATGTTTATAGTAACTTTCTACGCTTTTTATTTACAACCAACATTTGATCTTTTAATCCTATTATGTTTAGTATTTTCAAAAATTTGAGTGAAAGATGATGATATCAAATCAGTAATATATTTACTTAATCTAAATAATTTGGCTAAAATAAATGCTAAACAAATATGTAATTATTTGAGACAAGCTTTTGAAGACTGTTCATAATAACGCTTAGTGTCAGTTGGTCTACATAAGATATGGAAGTACTATATAAACTAGCCAGGAGCCTGCTGTTCAGTGGTTGTCGTTTGTTGGTGTGGTTCATAAGTGGTTCTCGTTTTTTTTATATAGATTAGACCTTTGGTTTTCCTGTTTGAATTGTTTTACACTAGTCTTTTTGGGCCGCTGTTCGGTGTGAGCCAAGGCTCCGTGTTGAAGGCCGTACTTCGACCTATATTTGTTTACTTTTCACACATTGTGACTTGGATGGATAGTTGTCTCATTGGCACTCATACCACATCTTCCTATTTATAGATATGTCGGAACTACACGAATGGCCCCGCTCGCAAAAAAAAAACTTGAAACCCTTTTTAGGCCAATGGAAATTTGAGAATGAAATTCCCTATCACTGTTATTTTCACGAAATTTCAAAGTCCAAAGCCTGTAATTTCGGCACACATCATTTGAGCAGAACCAGACGTAAACTCAATCTGTAACTCAGTATATTAGACTCACATACTAAAAAACAGCTCAATATGTAAAGGCGTTTAGAAAAAAGTCGGTATAACTGTTATTTTCACAAAATTTTCAAAGTCCAAAGCCCGAAATTTCGGCAAAAATCAATGGAGCGGAACCAAACGTAAATTCTATCTGTAACTCATCATAGTAGACTCACATACTAAAAATCAGCTCAAATATGTGAAAGTCCGTATAACTCCTATTTTCTTGAAATTTTCATAGTCCAAAGCCTCCTTTTTGGTTATCAGGAAAATTAAAATTGTGAGTAATTTATTAAGAGTTATATGATAATTTTAACAAAATAATTTGCCTACATCAAGCTTTTACTTCATGGTTATTTACATGTACTTACAGAAACAAACCATGCTACTGTGATGACCAATATACTGTGTCGAAGATTGCTCAGGACAAAACAATCCAAGTATATAACACTAGTCACTAGGAGTATGAGTATAAGACTATTCGAAAGTTCGGACCATGCTAAGTACTATGCCCAATTCAGACCAGACTATCCGGATACAGTGGTTCAGACAATAGTTGAATACTGTAAATTATCTTATAACAATCTTAATACGGCTATTGACGTTGGCTGTGGGACTGGACAAAGTACTCATTCCTTAAAGACATATTTTAGTCACGTGATTGGTTTAGATGTGAGTGGAAAACAAATAGAACAGGCGAAACTTAAATACCATGGCATAAATTTCAGAGTCGGACCAGCGGAAGACTTGTCATTTTTGGAGTCTGGAAGTGTAAATTTGATAACTACAGCACAAGCAATACACTGGATGAATCATGAAATATTTTATAAAGAAGTTGACCGAGTTTTAGGACCCGGAGGAGTTTTAGCGGTATACGGTTATGGGATACCGGTAGAAAACAAAAAAGAAGCGCACAAACTTGTCTCACATGTAAGTTCAAGTATTATACTTATTTTATAAGCGTTTTTGCAGTTTGTTGATACATATTATCACGCTAGCACTGGAATACTTTATATCTACACGATCTAATGATCTAGCTACCAATAATTTCAAAACATATATTTCACATGATGCTTTGTTACAACGCTACACTGACCCATACTATTACATTATCATTCACTCTATGAAAATAATGATAGCTAAATAAATATTTAATTGGTAGAGACTTTTTAACTTGGCATTGAACCAAGTACCATGTCCCTTCTGAATAGATATAAGAAGATGTGGTATGAGTGCCAATGAGACAACTCTCCATCCAAGTCAAAATTTATAAAAGTAAACCATTATAGGTCACAGTACGGTCTTCAACACGGAGCCTTGGCTCACACCGAACAGTAAGCTATAAATTTAAGGGCCCCAAAAAATTACTAGTGTAAAACCATTCAAACGGGAACCTGTTTCTACCTCGCGCATTGTATACACCGCATTGTATACACGTGGTTTATAATACGTTTTGTACAGAGATTTTTACACAACGAAATCATAGCCTTTTGACTTGTTTAATCTTTGTTCAGGCAGAAAAAAAAGACATAAGAACCTAATTCAAGTATTGCTGTACCATTTATGCTGCATACATTCGAATATTCTGCTTGCAGGATGTAAAAAAAAGTACATATATAGTGGAATAAAACATTCATTTCCCTTGTCTCAGGGGGATATGAAGAGTTACAACTATTTCCAACATTTAATGGGTCAGGATTTTTATTTTCAAGCTACTATTAAAATATTACTTTTTTCCAGTTGCAATGCCATGTTATTCATTTGAAAAACCTCCTCCCCAAAATATCCAATGGTCGTCCCTAAATTTGATGTGGCTAAATTGTTTGGATAAAAGTCGGGTAGTCTGCGTAGATCACCCTTCACTTCGTTGAACCAAACATATAATGTTTGGATTACTAAACGTTGCTGATGACAAATGTTTAACTTTAATAACTATGTTCTTTCTCAGTTTTACTCTCAAACTCTGTCAGGATATTGGGACAAAGAAAGGAAGTATGTAGAACAGCACTATCAGATGTTTCATCTTCCATACGATGGTTGGACCAGGTCTGTAGCAGTAAAGTATTCAATTATTCAATCTTACGTTTCCTATAGATATAACCTTAAATCATTGATTCACTTCACTGTTCATCGACCATGCTATAGGATTAAGGAAACACAATATATATATATATATATATATATATATATATATACCCGAAATTCACGACTGAATGGTGTATATGCATTTACCAGTTCCTCTCCTTGATTTTATTCGCATTTAGCTTTCAAATAGACATAGAAATAAATGTAAACATGAGAAAGTGATCCCATACCTTTTGGAATTGACTCATCTAATATAATTGATTGAGCACGAACAGCATCGATCAAATTAAAGATATCGATTTTTTCAAATAGTTTTCAAGAAAACACATAAAACTATCTTTAAATTCTATGGAATCAGAGACATAAAAAAAAGTATTATTTGTCTCTGATGGAATTCAGATGCTCATTATAATAACATCCTAGGTTATTATTCATGTATTTAACAGAAAAGATGAACTAGAAATAGTTAAACACTGGTCAGTAGACCAGTATACCGGTTATATTACCTCCTGGTCAGCATGGCAGAAATACCTCAAAGTACACCCCGAATCAAAAGATTTACAGACATTACATGACAAGTAAGTAATTCAAACTAATAAACGATATATATATATATAAGTGATAAGTGACGATTTCAGACTGAGATACCTGTCTCATACAATTGGGTTATATGGTACTTTTTACAAATAAATATGCAATAAAAGCACGAATACGTCCATGCAGGCCAATGTAATATCATTTTCATTACACACACTGTTATTTTTATTTATTCAAGTTTGTTTAGATATCCAATTTCCTTCTGAAATGCTCTGAACTACTACACAATGCATTAAGATAAGTGTTTACACCGAGCATGTACCACAATGCATTTTGACTAAATTCTAATCGTTTACGTCTTATCCGAGCACCCACAACAAAATAGACATAAAAATATAATAGTTCAGGTTACGCCCATTATTTAGTTGAATCTAATTATTTATTTATTTATCAAACTGTATAACATTGTTCCCTGTCCATTTTGAAAATTGTATTTTCTGGTTATTTGTAGCATTTTTCTGTCCAAGATTTTTTCTATGGGATTTCTTTCCTAGTAATCTCTACAACTACATAAAAAGCAAACTACATCATTAAAATAATAATTATTTTTATCTAAGATTAAGTTTATTATTTTTCTTTCAGACTGATAGAACTTTATCCAAATGATGAAATAATGACCATAAGATGGCCTATCTTTATGTTACTTGGAACCAAGCCCATGGCGTAGTCAAACATTACTTCCTACTCACGTATTTAAACATGTTTAAGCAACACACATGATCAATATATATTTTAAATAAATCCATTTTATACAGTGCTATAATCATCATCGGACGTGTTCATGGTGTTATATAGTTAGTTATAAAAGTTCATAAAGTCGATGTACGCACCAACTTTTTCAATGAGCAACTGTAAACTTTGTATTTGATAGAATCATTGATTGCACCAGATCTGTTCTCGAAGAGCTTGGCTGTTGGTCTGTTGAAATTTGTCATGCGCATTATTGTCGGTATTATTCTTTTACATTATCATCAGTACATGTATCCAAGTTGAATAACCATGATTATTTCATAGCTAGATATACAAGAAAGTGGAAGCATGTGTGCATGAATTCAAATGAAAAAATTCTGGCTAGTTCCACTACTAGAAAATAATACATAATAAAACGTTATTACAGACCTGATTATTATCAAAAATACAGAAAACGTGATTTATTACTCTATGGAGTATTATTCTATAAATACCATGTCATCCATTGTAGTATCCATAATGATTGTATTGTGTATGATTTATGTAGCTGTGTCAGTCATTTTACTAACAGATACTCTTCTGACTGTAGATCGCCCGTTCATGCAGCCCTGTCAACTCTATTTATAATTAGGTCATGTCCGGTTGTGTTTATTATAATTGTCTGGCTGTAGTACTATTTTCGTGTTTGGTTTTTCCATAATTTGTCCAAACTTCCTACAAATGATCTGATAGTTAGTTCGGTTACCACTGAGGAGGGTAGGTTGTTCCTGATTTCAATAGTTCTTTGAGTAATAGAATATTTTCTGACATCATGTCATTCAATTTGATGTGCCTTTATAGCCTCTTGTATTTGAATCGTCTCTAAATTTTAGGAAATTGGATACATTTGATCATATTTATTAGTAAAGATCTTATAAAGTTGAATCATATCTCCTTGTGATCTTCTGTGTGCCAAGTTGGTATAATTGTTAGTTGTGACAAACCCTGTATTTGTTCATTAGCTCCTCCTTGAGCATTTTCTGTGGATTATATGTTGTTTGTTCTTCAAATATCAGCATCACACTTCATTGGCATACTAGCATTCTCAATGCAGCCTCACAAGGGCTGTGCATAATAAAGTAAGTGTTATGTAATCCATGTATTCCATAGTTCTACAGAGGACTACCATTACGGAGTTGCCTTGTTGAGCATGTGGAGCAGGATCTGCTTACCTTTCCGGAGCACCTGAGACCACCCCAGTTTTTGGTGGGGTTCGTGTTGCCAAGTCTTTAGTTTTCTATGTTGTGTCATCTGTACTATTATTTGTCTGTTTGTCTTTTATTTTTGGCCATGGCGTTGTCAGTTTGTTTTCGATCTATGAGTTTGACTGTCCCTCTGGTATCTTTCTTCCCTCTTTGATCTAATCTGAAATATGTTGGTTGAATGTTATTACTGTCTTTTATAACCCCATTATCTTTCTCAGATTCAACTAATTACGTTGGTGGTATCCCGTCTTTGAAGATGTAAACACAGAATTGAACTGATCACTCTCAATAAAGACCGCTTGTGTTTGTCTACATTTCATCTCGGAGTGAATACATTATCTATATTTATATTGATGGAATATAATATTGAGCGAACTTAAATAACAAATGACCTATACCAGGATATATGACATCTAGTAAACTACGAATTTTTGCAGATGATAGTATCATATACAAGACCTCACCATGGCTGTGAAGCTCTGCAGTCCGATCTTAATGCAGCAGTCAGACGAGAGACACATCCACACAAATGCATAGTCATTACAATAACACAAAATAACCTTATTATAATACATAGACAATATTTCTTCAGCTAAATATCTAGCCATTACAATACAAGCAAACTTTAAATGGCCAAAGCATACAGAGAACATCATAGGTAATGGAAATGTATCGATAGGATTCTAAAAAAAAAATGAAAATAAACTATATAAATTTTATGCGTCCGAAGCGCTTATCTGGATTTTACTTTCACCAGGAATCCTCTTAGCCGAAGATTTTGAAAGCCAATGAATGATGTTTAAGACAATCGAAGAGCTATATGACCAAAAGGAACCTAAAAAGTAATATAGCCAAATCCATATAAGTTCAAATTTGACTGAAGGAGTTGGAGCTTTGTTTCTTATATATATTATAATTTATAAATTAATAAACGGACAATTTGGGAAAGTTATGTTATAAATTATGTCATTACCTACGTGACTGATGATATGCTCGATGACTGATAGTACATCCAGCGCTAGCAGCAGTATCGACCTAGTGCTATAAAAATTAATATAACATTATGTAAATTTTCATGATGTGTCCGAATTAGCGCTTTTCTGGATTTGCTTTCATCAGGAACGCTCAAAGCCGAATATTTTGAAAGCCAAGGGCGTTAAAGAACCGAAACAGTTGAAGAGCTATATGTGACCGAAAAGGACCTAAAAATATATCCCAAACAGAAAAATAAATGAACAAATTGCTTTCAAATCGTATCCAAATCTCTTTCAAATCGTAATTCTGCAATTTGTTAGTACCATTTGCTTGCGATTCATTAAAGAAATTATAAACAAATCAGAATTCGCCAAATTCCCAAAACTGATTTCTTTGTGATTTCTTTCAAATGTATGATTTGTTAGCAATTTGTTTCTGTTTTTGTGTGATTTGTTTATGATTTGTTTACTTAGAATATCGTATGAAATGATTTCAAAAAGATTTGTTAACTTTATTCGCTAAAATTGTGTGATTTCGTTATGACTTGTTTACTTGGAATATCATAGAAAATGATTTGAAAATGATTTGCTAACTTTGTTAGCTATCATGGTGTGATTCATTGATGATTTGCTACAATGAAAACAATGTTATTGCATTCAGATTTTCTGGGTTTGTCATTATCTCTGACTTCCGGTTGAGGCCAATTTCAAATTTCAAATACTGTTCTACATTAACTGAACAAAGAAAGTTGCAAGACGAAGAGTAAGATATACTATCAATGATGACAGTGGTAAGTATCTTAGTCATTAACTTATTGTTTTAGGAATTCAATTGTAAGTCAACTATTCAAACATGTCAAAGGTGTTAAACTTTTATATTCGGAAACTGTGCATTTCAATATCTCGTTATGTGTACTGTCTGGATAAATTAAAAAAAAAAAGTGTAAAAGACATGTAAACAGAACGAGACGAGCAATTAAAGAGTTAAAGAGTAGCTTCCCGAGTCAGCAGACAATATGCACTGGCAAGTTTTATGTTTAAATTTTTCATGATGTTGACTGGTCAGGTATAGAGCTGTAGCAGATTTGGACCCAGACTAAGACCCATCGCCTACTAGTATTCGACATCCTTCTAGTAAACCGCCTACTAGTATTCGACATCCTTCTAGTAAACCGCCTACTAGTATTCGACATCCTTCTAGTAAACGTGGTTGCCCATGTTGTCAAATCTCGTTAGATTTAAATTCTGGAAAAGTGAGAGAAACTTTTCACAGAGGGAACAATTGCTCCCTCATGACAACCCGAAATAATAATCCCTTAACAATCAGAGGAGTAGCTAAGGTAAAATAAAGACAAGTGCACTTCAAAGTTTGGGGGTCTCAGGGGCAGAACAGATTTTTGATCCAGATGTAAATGATTTAATCTGTGAATCGATGATGATGTCAATTAATTGACGATTTACTTGTGATTTGCTTAATGTAGGAATATGATTTACTTCTGATTTGTTAAATATTTGATAACGATTTGTTTATAATTTCTTCATAATTTGAAAACAATTTGTTTGCGATTTGCTTGAGGTAGGAATATGATTTCATTCTGATTTGTTAAAGATTTGTTAACAATTTCTTTATAGTTTGTGATTTGCTTAAAGTAGGAAAGCAATATCCTCTGATTTTTTTAATGATTTCAATACAATTTCTTGACAATTTGTTTATGATTTGCTTATGAATTGGAAGCAATTTGTTTGTGATTTGTTGTTGTTAGCTCATTTGCATGTGACATTTTATCACTTTCAAATCATAAAGAAATCATATGATTTGGTTATCATTTGTTACCATGATTTGTTCCTCACTTTTTTTGTTTGGGTAATAGCCAAATCCATCTAAGGTCAACTTTACCTGAGTGAGTAGGAACCTTCGTTTCTTAATAATTTAACAATTTATAAACGGACAATTTGGAAAAGTAATGTTATAAATTATGTCAGTACCTACTAAACTGATGATACGGGGACTGATAGTCTACCAGCAGCGGGATCGACCAAGTGCAGTAGTGCTATAAAAATAAAAATAACAGTATATAAACTTATGTGTCCGAAATGGTGCTTTTCTGTATTTAACTTCATCAGGAACGCTCAAAGCCGAATATTTTGAAAGGCAAGGATGTAAAAGAACTGAAACAGTTAAAGAGCTATATGACCAAAAAGGACAAAAAAATAATGACAAAATCCATCTCAGGAATAGACAATAGATAATATTTACTAGCACATACGCAATTATTACAATCAGAAAAGGCTCAATATATATACATTGTATAATAATACATAAAATATATAATTGGCAACATTAATAACCAGCCGTACTCGCTAATTCGACTTTTTGTGTCTATTCATGCTGAGTTTGGAAGCCTCACTATGTTGAACAGACTTCAAAAAAGAATTGAGATGGTTAAAAAAAAAAGATTCAAATATGCCATATCAGTAGTGTTTCAAAAATAATAGAAATAATCTGGTCATATTATGTGAAAGAAGATTACATACAAGGCTAGTAATGTTTTAAAAAAAATGTTTATAGCATTTCTGCAATCCTATCCATACACAGTGTAGAATTCTGATCTTTTATCTTAATAACATTCAAATTTTATCTATAAAAGATTATATAAGTTAACATTTTCCCCATACACCATAATCAAAGGGATTCTTTATCACCATTTGAATTTTGATTTTTGGTGTTTTAACGCCACTTTTAAGCACCGCTTTTGGGCTATTTCGTGGCGGCCAGATTTTATTGGTGGAGGAAGCCGGAGTGCCCGGAGAAAGCCACCGACCTTCCATAGGAAAACTGACAATCCTAG